TATATATATTAGTTGGCCAATTAATTTCTTTCTATTTATAGTAGAGACGGGGTCTCGCTCTTGCTCAGGCTGGTTTCGAACTCCTGACCTCGAGCAATCCGCCCGCCTCAGCCTCCCAGAGTGCTAGGATTACAGGCGTGAGCCACTGTGCCCGGCCCTAGGGTGTTGTTTTTTCATTCCTATTCTGTTCCCTCATTTCTTTCCTCATTCAATACACTACTGCCAGCTTAATCATCCGTTTTAGGGCCGTGTTTTTAGTTTTTAGTTTTTTTATTTTTTTTGAGACAGAGTCTCGCTTGTTGACCAGGCTAGAGTGAGTGTCGTGGCGTCTGCCCAGCTCACAGCAACCTCCAACTCCTGGGCTCAAGTGATCCTCCTGCCTCAGCCTCCCGAGTAGCTGGGACTACAGGCATGCGCCACCATGCCCAGCTAATTTTTTCTATATATATTAGTTGGCCAATTAATTTCTTTCTATTTATAGTAGAGACGGGGTCTCGCTCTTGCTCAGGCTGGTTTCGAACTCCTGACCTCGAGCAATCCGCCCGCCTCGGCCTCCCAGAGTGGTAGGATTACAGGCGTGAGACACCGCGCCCAGCCCTTAGGGCCTTGTTCTTAGAGTGCAGTTTTTCTGCTCAACACTGATAAGATGTTTACTGAGAACTCTCCACGTCTCATGACATCCTCATAACGTGGAGGCAGGAATTTTGATCCACAGAGATTAAGTAACGTGCCCACAGTTGGCTTCACCGCTCAGACTTTGTCCCGGAGCCCTGCTCTCCCCGCAGCCGGCCTTTCCCAAGCTGCTCATAGAACACTGGTGTCTTTTCATGTGTACCCCATAAAAGTGTGTGGTCCAAAAAGCTTGGGAAACTCTGGACTGAGCTAGGTCAAAATATCTTTTTCTTTTTTTCCCTATAAAGTTTTTTTTTTTTCCTTAGGGCTTTTAAGAAAATGTGCATTGTATATTTTTAGGAGGGATGTGTCAATTATATGGTGTTTCCTATACTTGAAACTTAGAAACTTACCTCCTAGAATGCTTTGAGAAATGTAATTTGGGGACACTGCCGCTCTGGTGGCTTTAGAAGAATAGCTAGGACACAGGGAATTAACTACAGGAGAGGGAAAGGTTTAGGAGCAGGCGACACTGGCTTTGGGAAAGCCTGTGGTCAGCGTGATGAAGGAGGATAACAGTGGTGGCCAGAGGACACAGAGAGAAGAACTCCCGGTTGCATTGTTACCAGACAATTCTGGATTCTTGGGAAGCCTATGGATTTATGTTTACATTGGTTTACTTCCTCCTCATTCTGGCTCCCCCAACTTATTAGTTGTTTGACCCCGAGACTGTTCCACTGTGTTTAAATGTGTTTGAGAATGAACCTGAGGAAATGCATAGTTCCTGGAAATAGTGATGAATAAATGTAAGCCTTCTTCCCCAGATAACTGAAGAGATGCTTCCTTCCTAATGTGAGGGCAGTTTAGCTTTTTGTCACTAGGTGGCGTGCCACGCCAAGAAGAAAGACTTCCAAGTCTGGTTTTCCTTGTGCTTTGAGCCCTGCCCATGCTTCTTATTTTTTTGGTAGCAGTTTCAACACAGCTCAAGTCATTTTATATAAGGTTTTCAGATGACAGCACATGCCTCATGGATTCTTTTAGTTGTAGCAAATAGGGTATTTTAAGTTTCTCCAAGTGAGTACAGTGAGGCAGGCTGCCTAGACACTCATGGACCACATCCGTGTAGAGAGCACCAGATCTTTGACTTGGGGAGCATCCTGGCCTCCTCCTCACTCCAGAGGTCCAGATTGAAAACTAGACAAATATTTGAAAAGGAAATAAATTGGGTTTATTTCCAAGTTTCTTTTCTTCTTCTTCTTTTTTTTTTTTTTTTAGAGACAATTATGCTGTGTTGCCCAGGGTGAAGTGCAAGTGGCTATTGGCTATCACAGGTACGATCATAGCACAATTTGACCTCAACCTCCTGGGCTCAAGCAGTCCTCTTGTCTCAGCCTCCTGAGTAGCTGGGACTACAGGCATGCACTCTAGCAGTTTCTACTCCAGGTGCCAAAAAAGTGATTCAGTCTGTTAAGTGTATTTACTTCCCACCATGAAAGTTGCTGATTTAAAGATGGATTAACTTTTTATTTTAAAGTAACTTCAGATTTACAGGAAAGTTACAGAAACAGCACAAAGAATTCCTGAAAAACTCAGATTCCCCAAAGGTTAACATTGTACCGTATTTGCTTTAGTCTGTTTTTTTTCTGAAATGTTTGACAGTATGTTGCAGACATGATGCCTGTTTACCCTTGAATTCTCCTGTGTATATTTCCCCTAAAACATAACTACAGTACAATACCCAAATCAGGAAACGAACACTGTCTCGGCCCGCGGGACCTTCTGTTACTCGCGGGGGCGAGGGGGACCGTGCCTGAAAGAGATGAGCGAGAGAAAGAAACGAGACCAAGCGAATGATTGTCAAGGTCTGCTTTACTTGGATTCTTAGTAGGTTTTATAAGCATACAAAAACAAGGAAGTAGAGGCAAAAAAATAGAGTGTTGACGATGAGGCTTGGGTCTGGGTTAATCAGCCCCAATCAGCGTCTTATCGGTATCTTGTTTTTGACTGGTTACTCATCTCTAACCTGGCAGGTGGTCGGGAACAATTGCAGTCAGCACACCCTGGAGCATCCCGTGGTCAGCACGTCATGGACTGCATTCTTCTCGGAGCTATAGCTGGAATTTTCCAGGGCGAAGTCCGTGTGTAGGACGAGTCATAGGGGAGTTGAGGGTCTTTGAGGGTCCTTGCCTCTAACAGAACACTGGTATGGTACCATGTGCCTTATTCAAATTTTGCCTATTGCCCCACTACTGGGCTTTATAGTAAATAAAAAATATATTTTTTTCTGTTTCAAGATCCAGCCTGTGATCACACATTGCATTTAGTTGTCATATCCTTTTAGTGTCTCTTAAATTTGGAAGAATTTAGTCTTTGTCTTTTGTGATTAGGCATTTGGAACTTCAATGGCTTATAAATCAGGATTACTATCAGTTGCTGTGTGCATTGACGTTCTGTTTAGGTACACAGCACTGCTGGTATTGTGCAGTGCACAACATACAGGAATGTGCTCATGGCCCTGACTACTTGTACTCTACATCTTTTGATAGTAACATGGGGCTGACCACTTGAGAAGTGTTTGGGGGACACTTGAAATACAGTTGTGCTATGGTTCACAATATTTCAGAAAGGAAATAGTCAAGAAACAGGTCGGTTTAATTGATTAACTGAATTTTGTGCCAGGCAAAATTTTATACCTGCCCATCTACAAGGACCTCATGGTTCTACCCTGACTCATCAGCTCTTGAAGGGCTTACACCTTCTTTTATGCTTTTAAAGTATATACAGAGAATATATCAAATATTTTTATCTACCCTGAATGCAGAAATGAAACTAGTTGAATTAATATTTACATTCATTATATATTATTATTCATGCCACTAATTACAAGGAAGATAGTTAATATCTTTTGGGAGTGTTTTTATGGTGTAACTAGGTATATGTAGGTAAAGTAACCCTGTGGGTCTGCCTCTGCCTCCTTTTTTTGATAATCGAGGTGCCCAGAGAAGCCAGTGCTGCCTGTCTTTCTAGACTGGGGTGAGTGCTTGGGCCGCATCATTCTCAAGTTTTCCCAGAGCGCTGTGCGTTGCCCTGACCAGTGCTGTCTCCAAAGCAATGGGCTGCCTCAAGGCCCCAGGTCACTGGCAGCCACTCCGACCAGTTTCCCTGCGCTCCCAAGCACAGCCGGGTATTTTCCCTGGCCCTAGACTGAAAGCAGGGAGGAAGATGCCACTTTCCCTTCATTCTCATCAGACAGCAAGGCATGGAGGCCTGACTGCACCACTTGAAAATGCCTGGAGTCCTCCTTCTCACCAAACAGGAAGGATAGCTGGGGATGTACTCATCTCAGATACAGACTATTTGACAGACAGTCAACATATTTTAGAGGGCCCTGGGGCACCTCAAAGAGATATGTTACTGCATGGTGTGAAAGTTGTCAGAATCAAAATGGAGTCACTCGTGTCAACAAAAAACCTGACAACTAGAGCCGAGGGAGGCCGTAAAGAGAAGGGTCCTCGTGCACAAATGCCTCACGAACTATCATGAGAAACTATAAACCCCACAACCTTGCACAAAAAAATAATTCTGGGGAATATCAGCCCAGCAACTGGCCATTCAATCTTGCACTGTTGTCACCCTTGTTATCGATCCTGGTGGTGAAGGATAATTATCTCAAAACAGTTATGTAATCCTCCTCGTTTTGCCTTTAAGACCCTTGTCTTCCTTTACCCCCCTGAATGCACACATAGTTTACGGTGGCACATGTATTCCGATTGTCGTGCCCTATTCCCAAATACATGCCATTTCCTCTGAGAGCCTCTCTGTCAGGGGATCTCAAAGAGCTAGGTGACAGCACAGTGACGGTGCAGACGTCTGTTTACAGTGACGAAAACACTGCAGACAGAAAAGTGATGTAAAATGAAATGAACGTCACAAAGGCGGACGACCCAAGCTCGGGCTGGGGACTGGGCTGTTCCTCACGCAGCAGTTCCTGGGTGAGAGGGCAGTGCCGGTTTCTTCAGTGCAGTGTGTCAGTGAGTGTCCTGCACATACAAGGTCTCCTTTCTCCGGCCCTGCCATGCCTCCAAGTCCTGCTGGGGCCTGCCCTTCCGCCCCCCTGCCCATCAGCTCCTCGGCAAGCTTCCCTCTGCTTCGCCGCTGCGGCACCATCAGGTCTGACGGCTCAGCCAGAGGCTTTGTCTCCCAGCATGGCAGCGTCCTGCAGTCTACAGTGAGCACTGCACAACCTCGGGGGCGCCATTCATAGGGCAGGCATGGGCCATGTGTCTGTTTACTTAAGAAAAAAAGTGTGGCACTTGAAAATAAAGCACATTTTTTTTTTTTTTGAGACAGGGTCTCACTCCATTGTCTGGGCTAGAGTGCCATGGCATCAGCCCAGCTCACAGCAACCTCAAACTCCTGGGCTCAAGCGATCCTTCTGCCTCAGCCTCCCGAGTAGCTGGGACTACAGGCATGTGCTACCATGCCCGGCTAATTTTTTCTATATATATTTTTAGTTGGCCAATTAATTTGTTTCTTTTTTTTTCATTTTTTTTTTATTTTGGCATATTATGGGGGTACAGATTTTAAGGTTTCAATAAATGCCCATTTCCCCCCCTTATTTTTTTTTTTTTTATTTTTTTTAGTTGAGATGGGGCCCCACTCTTGCTCAGGCTGGTTTCGAACTCCTGACCTTAAGGGAGCCTCCCACCTCGGCCACCCAGAGTGGTAGGATTACAGGCGTGAGCCACCGCGCCAGGTGGAAAATAAAGCGTCTTAAAGATGGGTGCCTTTATCTAATTCACACAAAGGTCCTTATAGGCTAGTAGTGGCCTTGATCCAACTAATCTACTTTGTCCTTGGGTGACCCATTTTTGGTAGAGGGCCCACTTTCCTCCATTTATCCACATACTTCTAAACTGTACCCAGACTTCCCTAATAAATACTCCATAATGTGCTTTACAGATACTGTAGGGCAGAGGAATTTGTAGGACAGAGGAAGGGCAGAGGAATTCTTCCAATTGTCGGGAATTTTCTTGGGTGGGGCAATGAGCTAACTGCAAACCTTTGCTTCTGGTCATTGCTTGCTTGCTACACCGCTGTAACGGGAATTATGGGATGAGGTCATTGAAGCACGGGCAACTGGCCCATCAGGCAATAGAGGGCAACCAACCCGACAATTATTTCAAAAGGCAATAGTGGGCAACCAATCATTTTAAAGGTCAACGCATGACCCATGCGTAGTCAGCTTGTGCGCAGCTTGTGCACCATGGGGATAAAAGGCATGCCGTTGTTCCAGTTGGGGTCCTTGCCTGCGAGAGTGGCCACTGCGTTGGTGCTCTGGGGCTTGGACCCTGGCTAGCCAGAAAATAAACCTCCTCTTGTGTGATTGCATCCTCGATGTCTCTGCTTTTCTGTCCGGTCGGGCTGTGGAAGGTTGGTCCCTAACAATACACACAAGAATTAAGTACCTGCCCCCCTCATGATATGTGACCCCTGACCGCTATGTCAAATGGGTGAACCTTCTGTAACTGCTTAAACCTAAATAATAGGGTAGCTCTTTTTCTCCTGCACTATGATCACTTCTTTGTAGGGATCAGAGGTCAGTAAACTTTCTGTAAAGGGCCAGGTAGTAAACGTTTTAGGCTCTGTGGGGAACTGCCTAATTCTGCCTTCTAGTGGGAGACCAGACATAGACAATCTATAAATAAATGAGCCTCGCTGGGTTCCAATAAAACTTTATTTATGGACACTGAAATTTGAATTTCATATAAGTTTCATGTGTGATGGAATATTCTTTTGATTTTTTTGTTTCCCGCTCTTACAAGACGTAAAAACTATTCGTAGCTCACTAGCTATACAAAAACAGGAAGTAGATAGATTCAGCCAGCAGATTATGGCTTATATCTTGTTATAGATGATTTATAAGATTGCTTCCAACTCAAAAATTTTACGATTTTGTACTCAGCTTGACTAGAAATTACAGTCCCAAGTTAGTATAAGTATGAATGCGGTTGAAAGTCATTTATTTTACAAAGTAGCACCAGGCATTTCCTTTTGGAAAATACTATTAGAAAGGGAGTATCGTACTTATTCAGATGAGCCCTGTCCTTTCTCCCTGAGTAATAGCCAGCCCCATGCCTACAGGGGACGTTTATTAAGAATGGGGAGAGGGGGGGCGCCTGTAAAACTGGACCCCAAGGTGTTGGAGGGACAGAGTGTTTGGATTCTTGGTAAACGCAGTTTGGGGTGTCAGCCCCTCCCCTGTAAGGGAATAACCGCTCTGTCCCACGAGAGTCACCTGGACATAGCACTGACCCTTAGGCTCTCAGTCTGTCACTGACTTAAGCCCTGCTTCCAACCAATAGGGCTGGCTTTCTGGGCCTGAATCACAGTGACCTCCTGCTGCAGGACACAAGCCCGATTCCACCCTGATTCGGCCTTCTCAGCATCTGGTCCCCAAGGCCAGCCTGCTTTCCCCCGACAAGCTGTAACAGTCGCGTTTACTCTAACAGAATGGCTGTGTCCCCCTTGCTGCGGGGCTCAGATTCTCATCTGCTCTCTTCTGCTACACGCATACCCTTCGTCCCATAGCCCAACGGAGGAAGCTCTGGAACCTTAAATTTCCTAAATGATCCAAGGTAAGCCTTTCCCAGCTTCTACCTGCTAACTCTTCCTCCAAACCGCCCCAACTCCAGGTGAACCAAATACATAAAGTAGATGCCTCACAAGGGGACTTGCATGCATGGCATAGGGGCCCTGGGGGTTGTCCTTTTTTAACTTTGCCACCCTGGACGGTGGGGTACACAACACTTGGTTGGAAAGTTAGCCAACTGCTTACCAGCAGTACAGGGCTCCAACAGAGGGAGAGAAAGTGGCCCCATAAACCAGTGCCAGATGCTTTATAAAGTGACATTTAGCATCTCCTCTTCCTTCCCATCCTCAAGATAAGGCTGCCTGTAGGGCTTTTCCCCAAAGCGGCCTCATAGCCACCGGGTCGCTTTGTGTGGGAGATGGAATCCCATCCCAGACACAGCCGTGTCCCACACGGTAAGAGTCACATAAATGGGTTTTAAATACACATCCTATGCACAAAGGAGCCCACCAACACTGGCACAATCGGATGGCTTGCGTGCTCCGTGGATAACACGGTCCATTAGCTCATTTCTCTTTATAGCCCCCAAACCCCAAACACAGTGTGACTCCTCACATATAAATGAAGTGTTAATGCAGCTTCTGAAAATCTCCTCTTTAACTTTTCGAGGAATGAAGTGACAGCTAAAGAAAGTCCTTGCTGAGTTCCCCAGCAGGCCTCAGTAGCGCTATCAGGTGTTATTTAAGAAAACACAAGTTTACATAGAGGACTTTAAAAAAGTTGAAACTACAAGCCAGGCGTGGTGGCTCACACCTATAATCCTAGCACTCTGGGAGGCCGAGGTGGGAGGATCGCTCGCTCAAGGTCAGGAGTTCGAAACCAGCCTGAGCAAGAGCGAGATCCCATCTCTACTAAAAATAGAAATAAATTAATTAGCCAACTAAAAATGTATAGAAAAAATAGCCAGGCATGGTGGCACATGCCTGTAGTCCCAGCTACTTGGGAGACTGAGGCAGGAAGATTGCCTGAGCCCAGGAGTTTGAGGTTGCTGTGAGGGAGGCTGATGCCATGGCAATCTAGCTCCGGGCAACAGAGTGAGACTCTGTCTCAAAAAAAAAAAAAAAAAAAAAATTGAAACTACAGAAAACAGACCAAAATAAAAGTGAAATGTAAAGCAAAGACTTCACAGGGGACTTTTTAAAAAGTTTACAATTTTTTATTTCTAGCTTAAAAACAAAATCTTAAATTACTAGGAAAAAATGTACAGAATTAATCACATTTTAAAGCAGCGGACTGTACGTGAAGGGCTGCTCAGTGTCCCTCGTTGGGAAAGGCTGGGACAGGTTCTGCGACCCGCCTGACGCACTGGGCTCATTTGCCAGAGCTGAGGAAAGGACTCGGGTTCCTGACTGCCCAGCTCAACCAGTACTGACAAAGGTATCAGAGCTGTACCATATCCATCTTGCTAAGAATACATACATGCCTTTTTAGTGTTTCAGAGAAGCCTTCATTTTTCTAGGATACCTCCGTAGAATTGTTCTAGAAATGTATGATTCAGAAAATTCTTATTTTAAAGAAAAAAAAAACAAAACAAGCTTGTCTTCCCCATGAGACCTGCCGTCTCTCGGGAGGCTCTGACAGACGTGTTTGAGGCAGGACCGTGGAGTGCCGGGTGTGTGAACCGTCCAGAAGGAACAGCAGCAGCTTCCCTCGCTCGACATCCTCTTCCCAGGAGCGGGCAGGCTGGACCCGTGCTTTGGTTCAAAGTGTCTAGAGAACATCTTCTCGCTCCTTCCCTGGAACTGAAATGATGGATACGGAGTCCCAGGCGTCGTCCTTTGGTGAGCTGTTCTTGTCCAGCGCCTCTAAGATGGGCTCAGCCGGGTCCTTTAAATACTAGAAGGGGTTGAAAACCAAAATTGCAATTAGTTTGTCAGTTCAGTACACCAGACCTTTTCCTTTAGTCTTAGTTGGCACAGTTACGTTTTATCCAGGTGTAACTTTATGCTGCGTACCAATGACACACCGCCTTCTTTCTCTGTCTTTTTTTTTCAACAATGAAATAACTTCTAATACTTGAACGCCCCTTCACCCCTCACCTCAGTAGTAACTTTAGTACCAATCCAAGGGCCGACCGACCGCGTTACTACGCCGGAAGCGTGAAAGGGAGTAGTAACTCAGGGAAAGCGAGTTCTTACTCGGGGCCTTCAGCGCAGGCTTGTGGGTTTTCTTTTTCTTTTTTTGAGACAGAGTCTCACTGTGTTGTCCAGGCTAGAGTGAGTGCCGTGGCGTCAGCCTAGCTCACAGCAACCTCAGTCTCCTGGGCTCAAGCAATCCTACTGCCTCAGCCTCCTGAGTGGCTGGGACCACAGGCATGCGCCACCATGCCCGGCTAATTTTTTCTATATATATTAGTTGTCCAGTTAATTTCTTTCTATTTTTGGTACAGACGGGGTCTCGCTCTTGCTCAGGCTGGTTTCGAACTCCTGACCTCGAGCAATCGGCCCGCCTCGGCCTCCCAGAGTGCTAGGATTACAGGCACTGGAGCCACCGCGCCCGGCCTGGGTTTTCAATCCTACAAGGTCCCTAAGGGAGTAACTGTTCAGAGAAGGAGGAAGGGGGAGCTCCCCTTCAGCTACCAGGGCACAAACAGGGAAAGTTCACAGCACTGTTCTCGTGCCCTCCCTTCCCCGCTGGTTTCTACCTCACGTAACACACAACAAAGAGTCTCTGGGGTGGGGGACTTAGGCAGCGTAGCCCCCTGGGGGGTCGGGAAGCCCAGGTCCCCAACAGGAGGGGTTAGGCTGAGCCACAAGCTCACAGAGTTACCAAGAACCTTGTGCCTAGTTCTTGGAAACGCTGAAAGACACAGAGATACAGTCAGCTTACTACAGCTGACTAGAAGAGGAACAAAACCGAATCATGTGAACTTGTGAAACCTCAGACGTCTAAGTGAAACATGATTCATAATGCTCATGTAACTTCAGAGACATTGGTAGGTATTTTCACACTTTGCTAAAACACAAGTGCAAAGACTTTGTGTTTTAAGCTCCGGAGAAACAACTTGTTAATTCATTGCAAGGGCCCAACTGGTGGCTCTACCCTGAGAGAGAGACTGTTAACGTTCTGTGACATTTGAAAGCTGTTATTTTGTGACACTATCAACCAGGGAAGTTCTAGCAGGGAATTTAACACTTACATAATTTGCATTATGCCTATGTTCTCTAAATATATCATGACAAAAAGAGGAACAAGTGATTACAGTTCTTTCTCGAAGCACCACTACGTTTTTACACACTTGGACCTTATCTAACATATTAATTCTGGATGTAACAGAATGAGACTCTGTTTCCAATACCTTTACTCTGGGTTTACTGAAGAATAATGTAAAACCTTCAGAAGCAAATACTTTGAAACGTTCTTCTCTCAGCTAGCCTCTGATCCCAAGACTGTCCCGACCACCGCCTCACAGAGCCACGTGGGACCGGGGCTGTGCCGGAAAACAAGCCCTGTTCCATTTTTCCTTCTCGAGTCCTTCAAAATGCTAATCACAGCCCGTGAGCACTAGGTGGGCAAGGCCTGGTGCTCACAGCTCTGGGCGTTTACTGTTCCCTGGAACCCTCCTAAGTGCACTGGTGGCCCCAGCGCTCGTGTTCTTGCTTATCCTCTCTGCTGCCTTCTGGAGGGAGACAGTCCAGTCCCCGAACCCTGCAGCCTGGCTTCACGGGGGAAGAGCTTCTCCCGGGAGCAGAGGACTGACGCAGTGCCTTGGAGAGGCACCCACTGCAGCCAATCCCCAGGCCAGGCCACCTTTTTAGCCAACCCCTTGCCATTTTTTTTTTTAAATTTTAAACTGTGATAAAATACACATCACATAAAATTTACTGTGTCAACTATTTTCAAGTGTACAGCCAGCTCCGCCATTGTTGTCCCCAGAACTCTTTTCATCTTGCAAACTGAAACCCGGTCCCCACTAAACACAAGCTCCCTCTTCAAGCTGCCCCTGGCCACTGCCATTCTGCTGCCTGTCTCTATGAATCTGCCTACTCCTGGGACCCCACATGAGTGGAGTCCGACAGTACTTGTCCTTTTGTGACTGGCTTACTCCACTTAGCACAATGTCCTCGAGGTTCACCTGGGGTGTAGCATGTGTCAGAATTTGCTTCCTTTTTAAGGCTGAGTAATATTTCACTGTATGGCCAGACCACATTTTGGGTGTCCATTCATCTGTCAATGGGTACTGGGGCTGCTTATACCTTTTTATTTTTTATTTTTTTTGAGACAGAGTCTCACTCTCTTGACTGGGCTAGAGTGCCGTGGTGTCAGCCGAGCTCACAGCAACCTCAAACTCCTGGGCTCAAGCGATCCTTCTGCATCACCCTCCCGAGTAGCTGGGATTACAGGCATGCGCCACCATGCCCGGCTAATTTTTTCTATATATTTTTAGTTGGCACATTAACTTCTTTGTATTTCTTAGTAGATGCCCGGCTAATTTTTTCTATATATTTTTAGTTGGCAAATTAATTTCTTTGTATTTCTTAGTAGAGACAAGGTCTCGCTGTTGCTCAGGCTGGTCTCAAACTCCTGACCTTGAGTGATCTTCCCGCCTCGGCCTCCTAGAGTGCTAGGATTACAGGCGTGAGCTACCGCGCCTGGCCTGCTTCTACCTTTTGATTGAATAATGCCACTAAGGACATGGGTGTACAAACGACCCTGTACCATCCTTAACTGAAGTCTCTGTGTCCACAGCTCTGTCCACTGCTGCCCTCTTAGGGGCTGCCGGGGGCTGGGGGGCAGTGGAGCGTGACGTGTCACCCATTCAGATGCGTGTGCACGTACCTCTTCTATCTGCGCCGGGATGCTGGGTGGAGCGTGGAACCAATATTTAATCAGGCCTCCGTATTTCAGGACCAGGAAGAAGCAGGCACCTGCCAGCACCAACAGCAACGAAAAGGTTCCCACAGAGATCAGGATGATTTGCTGCAGCTTGGTGGAGTCTAAAAAGACGATATGAAAGTGAACAAGATGCCAACCCACACATGACAGAGACACCAGCTCATTTTCCATCTGCGCTGCTTAAGGAGTATTCCTGTCCCAGGAAAAGGGACAACTCCCCCCGCCCCCGCCTGGCGCCTGGTATGCTTAAGTTCACCGCTAGGAAAGTGACCCTGTCTGTGATAAAACAAAGCACATGCAGGCTGCCTGGCAGCCTCTGCTACCACAGGTCTCGGCACTAGCTCATCACACCCACGGCCAAGTGCCCTCCTGTCTGCCACCTCAGAAGCTTTCCCCGATTCTAGTATTTTTTTTTTTTTTTGAGACAGAGTCTCACTCTGTTGCCCAGGCTAGAGTGAGTGCCGTGGCGTCAGCCTAGCTCACAGCAACCTCAAACTCCTGGGCTCAAGCAATCCTCCTGCCTCAGCCTCCCGAGTAGCTGGGACTACAGGCATGCGCCACCATGCCCGGCTAATTTTTTCTATATATATTAGTTGGCCAATTAATTTCTTTCTATTTATAGTAGAATCAAGATCTCGCTCTTGCTCAGGCTGGTTTTGAACTCCTGACCTTGAGCAATCCACCCGCCTCGGCCTCCCAGAGAGCTAGTATTACAGGCGTGAGCCACCGTGCCCAGCCCCGATTCTAGTATTTTAGAAGTATTCTTTTCCCAGCTCAGAAAGGACACAAGAAGGTACATTTTACCATCTGCTGTTGTTTCGTAGCAAGATATGTTGCTGAATTGCCCACGTCTCCTGATGTTTTCTTTCCAAAGCAGTCGTGCCTCGACTCGTAAGCAGTATACTCTGAAGGGTTTTAAATCATTCAACAAAATGAGGTTGCTCTTAAAAGGGCCTTTCACCTGTGTAAAAACACCATCACAACCACAGCTTGTAAATCGCTGGAACAGACACAGTCAAGCCACTTCTATCGTTACCGCTGTTTGCTCCAATTCACAGTGATCGCCACAACCAAAGAGTAACAAGATGCCGATTTTAAAGAGTCACCAGCTCGCAGCTGACACGTGAGAACTGGCGGGTAGTGTTGAGAAAGGTGCTGATGGCTTTAGGGGCTGTGTTTCCGGCTGTGAGGTCTCAGAGCGCCCATTGCAGCGACTGGAATTTAGCAAACCCCAATTTCTAGGGTGACATTTTCTCCTTTAAAATCAACATTTTGTGTTTCATGGTTAATCAAATCCCGATATTAGTCATATTAGTCAACAGAGAGAAAAAAAAAAATCAACCTAGGAAGTAATGTCCCTTTTATTCCCGACCTGCCTCTAGTTTGAGCTGAAAAGTGCCGGTTCCTACACAAGAGGAAACCGCAGCTGGAGCCGCCCAGTGCTACGGGGCTGGCGGTGGAAGCCCAGCTGGGCGCCTTGCCTTCGGAGCTGGCTAAGCAAGGCTGGTTCCCACGACCTGGGGGCTGGGTCCTCCTGCACTGGGCAGCCCCGCCCGGCTCTACGATACAATAGCAACTCGCTCCCCGGGGGACCATTCAGTGCAGTGGGGCGACAGACTCCATCATAAGAAAACAAAAGTATGGACAGGCCCTGAGTCAAGCAGCCAACCAAAGAGTGGAGAAAAACGTGGAGCTTCCAGAGCTTCCACCCTGTCGCCTGCATTTCCAGGACCGCATCTGATCCCTAAGAGAAGACGCACTCGGAAGAGGCAGCTACCTCGCCCATCTGCGTCCCCCCTGGCTCGCTCTAGGCCAGCTGACCCAGATCTTGAACCCTGATTTGGGGAAATTCTCATTTCCCTGTTCCCCAGATGCTAGGCCTGTCCTTCAGTGGCTCTTGCCCTCCCCAGTTTCATGCTCGCAGTACAGAAAGGAAGAGAAAGAGCGAATATAAAGCAGGTGGGAGGAAACCACGTGGGAAAGAGCAGGGCCCTGAAGCTAAGTCTCTGCTCTGCTCTGCCCACTGCTGACCTGGGGCAAGTCACCTAACGACTCGGTTTCTTTCCTTCTCTCCGAAACAGGTTGGTATAAGGCTGAAATGAGATGAGGCACCTGACATGCCGGGCCCAGCACCAAACTCAAAGCGCTCAATAAACATAAGCTCTTATTATTATTAAAAATTATAATAATGTTGAATTCAGGAAATCATAAAGTTTACAGAGTTCTCCTGGGGTCACCCAAATGGCTTTCTGCAGGCCCCACTGTAACCCAAAAAGAATTATAGACAGCTGGGATCACTGGCTCGGGAGACGATTCAAGACCATCATTGTTTTCTCATACTATCCTAGGGCCCATCAGGCCCCTGTGACCTGACTCATCTTTGTGAAGCCTGTCGCGTGGCCTGTGTTTCTGGCCCCTGTAGGCACTGGCATCTCTCCACATGTGCCACGCCTCCCCCAGCCCGCTGGGACTTCTCCCTGGCTACTCCTCCCGCCTTCTAGTTTTCCCGCCTGTTTCACATACGCCCGCTTTGCACACTGTTCCGATGTTGGTGTAGACTCCGCAGACTGCACTCGTGGATTCCCTGTTGTGGAAACAGGCCCAACAAAACCTCCTCCCAACTCCACTGTGTGGCAAAGGCGTCAGGAGCAGGTGGGCCAGCAAAGTCTGGACCCCAAACAACAGGAAGGATGTGACGCCGAAGAGCGGCCCTTCAGATCCATCCGGGGAGGGAAGTGTCAGCACGGTGAGTAGAAAACCAGGTCTCGCAGAGGAGGATTAGAACAGGCCCAGGGCTCAGCCTCCAAGGAGATACTGGGATACCCTGTTCTCCCAGCCCTTGCTAAAGCTTGCTTTCTTTTGCTAAACCAGAAATGCCAAAGAAAAAATCCAAACAAAGAAATATGCTCTTGCCTGTTGGGTTCCTGCTTTTTCCCAGTAGTGGACGTAGTAGCAAAAAGAGGCGTCGGCGCTGTCGACATCAAAGGGAGGGGAGAAACTGATGATGAGGGAGCCACCTCCTGGGGTCAACCGAATGTTTTTTGGAGGCCCAACAGTAACTGGAAAAGAATTACAAACAGAAAACTATATATGTACATATGGACACACACAGATACATACACATATGTAACACGATAGAATATATACAGTGTGTGTGTATATGCACACATACACATTTTTATTTTTATATGCAATGGCACCTGTGCCCTCGGATCTCCCTTGTTCTGGTGGAGAAGCTGAGTCCACACAATGCCCGGGGCAAAGGCAGGGCCGGGTCTAGCCCACCACCAGCCAGAGTGACATTCACAGATTGGTGCTAGTGACAAAAAGCTCTTTCATTGAACCGGCTCACAGATGTGGGCATACTCGTTCTCCAGCTTCCCTTTCCCCAGCCAGGTGACAGGATCTGCAGAAGTACCTGCAGGGCCTGGTGCCCGCCACAGGACTGTCACCTCCACAGGAACGTTCTCTGGGCACGTCCATTACTGCTTGGGAGCATGGCTAGTCACCATGCAGCTGAAGGGACAGTGCTCACAGACCTGCCCTTCTTAAGAAAGTCCCAGGGCTAGACTTTGATATCATCCTGATAAGACTCTTCTCTAGAGGAGGAAGCAATGTGTCTTCTCTCCAAGCACTGAAGGAAGAACGGCTCAACGGAGCGATGGGGAACTCCAGAGGGCGGCTTCCGGGCACGTCCACTCAGAGCTGGGCAACAGCCATATAAGGTTATCCCTATTTCTCAGGTGAGGAAGCTGAAGCCCACAGGGACATTCCTTGCCCAGAGTGACATAGCCAGTTAATGGCAGGGTGGGGTTATAAACCCAGACTGGGCCCAAGGCCGACTCCTCCAACCACCATCTCATTCCTCCACCCGGTAAACCATCTTCTTGGCCACTGATTCCAAGGCCACCAAAAGCAACGACAGTGGTGATAGGAGACCCCCACTGCCTCAAGCTTTACAAGTGGAGGCAGGAAAGCCCACCCAGCCAGTAACTGACCAAGAGCATTGCTGCTTAGCTCGGGCTGCACCCACTTTCACGACATGTTCTGCTTCTGCTACCATCTCTCGTCCTCTGGGCAGGGGCAGTAACTATTATTTCTTTCAGCTCACATGGGTGCTGGTTCTCTACCTGAGGACAAATGGCTTGTCCACAGCAGATCACCAGCCAGCAGGGACTGCCCTGTCTTCTCTGTTTCTGTCCCTCAAGGCAGCTAGCACAAACCACCAATTCTTTAAAAACTGGCACAGCCGACAGGTGACAAACGAATCACTGAATGAAAAATGTAAGAACTAGTATCTGAGGTCCTTCTGCCTCCTTCCAATATCTGGGGACACGTCTGTTCATCAATCATTCAACAAATAATTAGTGAATACCTACCACATGCCAGACACTGTTCGAGGTTGAATGAAAGACTTTCTTCAACATAAAGAAGTTGCACCAGAACAGGCCAAGGTGATCAGTGAGGCCAATGTGCTAGCATCCTTCAAATACAGAGGTCGGCAAACTTTCTCAGGAAAGGGCCACAGTAAATTTGGGTTTTGCAGGTCCGAATGGTCCCTGTTGCAACTACTCGACTCTACTGTTGCAGCATAGAAGCAGCCACAGACACATGAAAAGGTGAGCATAACCGCGTTCCAATAAAACTTTATTTACAAAAACAAGTGGCGGGCCAGATTTGGCCTGCAGGCTGCAGTTTGCTGACCCCTGGTTCGGCAAGTCACGCTCTCCTAGCATCAGCCTCCAAGGTCAGTGCGTGCTTGTTGAAGAGGCAAGTGAAGCAAGCCTGGAAAGTATAAAGGCAGTTTTATACTCCAGTTTTCTTACCGTTCAAATAGTGTTGAAACCAAGGCATTGTCACCCAGGCAGAATGCAGGTCTCCCAGCTCAGCTCGAAGTCTCAGAGCGACATTGAAATCCATCCGGAAGCCCTTGGAGAGGCCAGGCGCGGTGAAGTCGCACTCTGTCGCTGTGATCTGTGTACAGTTCACCCCTGTGGACTCGGGGGTGACCTCCGACCAATTACTAGCAGTGCTGGGAGGGAAAACAGGATTTCAATTCCTAGAATTCTCTCTTCTTCATATGTAACTGTTTCCTCAGAACTGGTTTTTTAAAAAACAGCTTTATTGAGATATAATTCACATACTGTACAATTTCCCCATTTTTAAAGTATACAATTCAATGGTTTTTAGTATATGTACAGGGTTATACAACCATGACTACACCAATTTTACAACATTTACATCACCCCAAAAAGCAATCTGATATCTGGCTGGGTGTGGTGGCCCATGCCTGTAATCCTAGCACTTTGGGAGGCTGATGTGGGAGCATAGCTTGAGCTCAGGGGTTCAAATCCAGCTTGAGCTCAGGGGTTCAAGTCCAGCCTGAGCAAGAGTGAGACTCCATCTCTACTAAAAACAAAAATTAGCCAGGCGTGATGTCAAGCCTGTAGTCCTGGGTACTTGGGAGGCTGAGGCAGGAGGACTGCTTGAGCCCAGGAATGTGAGGTTGCAGTGAGCTATGATGATGCCACTACATTCTAGCAGGGGTGAGAGTGAGACTCTGTCTCAAAAAAAAAAAAAAAAAAAAAAGTCTGGTACCTGTTAGCAGTCACTCCTCATATTCTCTCAACCCCCTCCCCCTTGAAGTCCTAGGCAACCACTAATCGACTTTCTGTCTCAATAGATTTCCCTATTCTGAATGGAATCATACAATATGATCAGTCTTTTGTGGCTGGTTTCTTTCACTTAGCGTGTTTCATAGTCCATCCATCTTGTAGCATGTATCAGTACTTCATTGCTTTTTATGGCCAAATAATATTCCATTATACGGACAGACCACATACTGTTTATCCATCCATCAGCTGGTGGACAGATGGATTATGTCCACTTTTTGCCTATTATGGATATACAAGTTTTTGTGTGGGTATATGTTTTCAGTTCTCTGGAGTATCTACCTAGGAGTGGAACTGCTGGGACATAGGGTAATTCTATGTTTAACTTTTTGAGGAACTGCCAAACTGTTTTCCAAAGTGGCTGCACCATTTTATATCCCCACCAGTAATGTATGAGAGTTCCAATTTCTCTACATCCACACCAACATTTGCTATTATCTGTCTTTTATTTTTCTTTTCTTTCTTTTCTTTTTTTTTTAGAGGCAGGGTCTTTGCTCTCTTGTCCAGGCTGGAGTGTAGTGGTGCGATCATACCTCTCTGCAGCCTTGACTGCCTGGGCTCAAGTGATCCTCCTGCCTTGGTTTCCCAAGTACCTGGGACCAGAGGCGAGCACCACCTGCCTGGCTATTTTTTTTAAATTTTTTGTAGAGATGGGGTCTTGTTTTATTACCTAGGCTAATCTCAAACTCCTGGCCTCAAGCAAGTCTCCCACCTCTGCCTCCCAAAGTGCTAGGATTATAGGCATGAGCCACTGCTCCCAGACTATCTTTTTTATTGTAGCCATCCTAGTGGATGTACAGTAGTATATCACTGTGGTTTCGATCTGCATTTCCCTGTCGAATAATGATGTTGAACATCTTTTTTTTTATTATTTGAGACAGAGTCTCACTCTGTTGCCCAGGCTAGAGTGCTGTGGCATCAGCCTAGCTCACAGCAACCGCAAACTCCTGGGCTCAAGCAATCCTACTGCCGCCTCAGCCTCCCGAGTAGCTGGAACTACAGGCATGTGCCACCATGCTGGGCCAATTTTTTCTACATATTTTTAGTTGGCCAATTAATTTCTTTCTATTTTTTAATAGAGACAGGGGTCTTGCTCGTGCTCAGGCTGTTTTCAAACTCTTGACCGAACTCCTGATCCACCCGCCTCGGCCTCCCAGAAGGCTAGGATTACAGGTGTGAGCCACCTCGCCCGGCCTTGAACATATTTTTATGTGCTTATTGGCCATTTGTATATCTTCTTAGGAGAACAGTTTAATTAAATTCTTTGCCTAATTTTTAACTGGGTTATTTGTCTTTTAATTGTTGAGTTGTAAGAGCTGTTTATATATTCTGGGTACAAGTCCCTTATCAGACATAAGATTTGCAAATACTTTCTCCCATTCTATCCCACAGCTGATTAGAATGCTTCAAGCTCAGTCTCTGCAGCCTATGTGTTCATGCAAACCCTATTCATGATTCCTGCTAGTGAAGAGTTTGTTTGCACTCCATACCTGCCCATTTAAAGAGGGTTTGCCTCACTCATATGAAAACTCTGCCAAATACGTGGCCATACTTACTCCTGTGTCAGTGGCAGTACATTTCCTAGAGCCCCAATGCCACACCCATACATGGGACTCTAGTCCCCAGCTCTGACCTTTGTCCTTATCAGAGGCGACAGATCTCAGAAAAGCCAAGGAGGTGGCTGCTAGGAGCCTGAGCAGGGGCAGTGGGCAGTATCCCCTCTAGGTTAGCAACCTTGGTCCAGAAAGCAAGGCCAGGGGGACAGAGGAGACGAGGCTGAGGATCCCTCCCTGCCCCCAGGCCACCAGCTTCCATGCACCACACTTTTCTAACTGTACCTCTGACCCTGACTGAGCTGTGCCTTCTGTCAAAGGGGCAAGTGATAAGTCCCAAGATGAAAGCCTCTTCAGGATGCTGGCGACATGCACACAGCATCCAGCTCCGGGGTCACAGATCCTAATGGGGAGAGGGACCCCAAACCACTGGCCCTTCCTCTGGGTGGGGCATGCGCCAGAAGGGGTAAGTGATTGCTTTGTCAGGTATAAAGATACTTAAAGATACTCTAACCTCCTTCCTGCCTCAAAGCGAGCCACTTCCATCGCTCACTCTGTCCCCGAGAGATGGAACACAGGCGAGGCACCTGTGCAACTCAAGAGCTATGTCCAGCCTCTGCTAGGTCACCTGCAAAAATGTTAAGCTTGTCCCCTTTGACCCAGCAACTACTCTTCCAGAAATGTAAGGAAATAAACAGAGATGATTCGTGTAAAACAATGTGACTTATGAGTCACAAGCCGTCAACTATCTATGCCCATGAGTGGGCAAAAGTTGAACACAGCATGTGTAATACTTCATACAATAAAATATATAAAACAAAGATTACACAGAGATAATAACATGAAAAAAATGTTCATACACTCAACTATGTTAAGTTAAAAAGAAATTTAAAAAAGGAGGTAGAACCCAAAAGTGTGACTCCATTTTGGTTTGGTTTCTACATACATACACACATTTTTCTTTCTTTCTTTTAGAGACAGGGTCTTGCTATGTTGTCCAGACTGGGCTCAAGAGAGCCTCCCACCTCAGTCTCCTGATAGCTGGGACTACAGGCACTCACCAACGTGCCTGGCTCACACACACATTTGGGTGCATTAAGAAAATGCATTAAGAAATGCTCACACACACAAACAAGTGGGTGCATTAAGAAAAAAAAAATCTAGAGATAAATATACTAACACGAGAAGAGTGCTTATTCTTGGGAGTGTAGACAAATAGGTTACTTTAATTATACACTTGTTTTCTTTTGGTTTTCCAGATTTTCTACAAAGAACATGAATTGCTATTAAAATCAGAAAAGAAGAAACTACAAAAAAAAAAAGTTTTGAGAAGACTGGGTTAGGCAGGGCTGAGAGTGGGCATGACCTGGAAGGGGTCCTGCTGCCCACTGGCTGCATTTTCAAGGAAAACCAGAAATCATCCTTCTTTTTTTTTAAAAAAATGCAATCTTCAGATTTCTTCATGTTGGTAACTAATTAAAACAAATTATTTACTGGGAGCCAAACTGCCACCATCTGCAACCCCTGATTTAAACTTTAAATTCTCCCACAAAGTGCCAAAAACAAAGGTACCTCCACAAATGATTATAGGAAGGCTTTATTGTAGAAGACAAAAAGGATGGAAATTTAAGTCTTGCATGCCTCAAAATTAATAAAAAGTCCCAAACATCTAAAAGTATCTAAAAACAAAACAAAAACAAAGGCCCTCTGCCATCATCAAATCTACAATTGGAAAAGAAAACAAAATTGGCCTCTCTTTTAGTTTTTAGTGACCTCCTCCACTTTTTCTAATAGGGACATTCATTCACAGGTACCCCAATCTCTGTTTCTTTTATTAAAACCAACCTCTATGCCTGAAAAAAATATCTTCAAAATGCTTCCCGTAAACAAGTCAGAGTGAAACAGGTTAGTCGATGATATGAAACTCTGTCAAAGGTTTGTGTGTGTGTGTGTTTTTAGCATTACTTGTAGTTATCATTTGTCAAAGGCCTTAAAAAAAAGTGCAATAAAGTTTTTTCTAGCATTTAGAGGCACCTCCTCTGTCAACCCACAAACGTACTTCCCCATTGAAGGCTCAGGAATGCTAAGCCTTTAATGCAGTTCTCATCAGCGTGACTTCCTCCACAGAAAGTGTCCTGGTTAGCTCTAGAATATTATGTCCACTGAATGCTGAGAATAGGGCCAACTTCATGGCACGTGACCAGCCCAGTCACACCAGGCCCTACTCTTAGAAGGGCGCTTGGTTTGATGCTCTGCGGTCACCATTTGAAAATTCTTCATCCTGTTTGAACAAGGAATCCCACGTATTCATTTTGCACCGGGCTCTGCAAACTGTATAGACAGTCTAGCAAATTATTCCATTTGTCATAGGTGATTCCATGTTGGTAATTTATAGTTACTGGAGGACCAGATAAAAGTGATTTGGAGGCCGGGCACGGTGGCTCACGCCTGTAATCCTAGCACTCTGGGAGCGCCGGGAGGCGGCGGATGCGAAACCAGCCTGAACAAGAGCAAGACCCTGTCTCTACATAAATAAAAGAAATTAATTGGCCAACTAATATTATATTAATAAAAAATTACCCAGGCATGGTCGCATGCCTGGTATCCCCAGCTACTCGGGAGGCTGAGGCAGCAGGATTGCTTGAAGCTCAGGATTGAGGTTGCTGTGACTGGCTGAACTCCCACCATGCACTCCTCCTAGTTGGGCCACAAAAAGCAAGACTCCGTCTCAAGAAAAAATAGTGATTTGGACGATAACCCTTCAAACCCCGGTGTTAGCATCTGTTTTTTATTAGCAAAATATTGTGACAGCGGATATTGAAAATGAATAAAGAGAGCCGCAGGAAGGAGGGTTGCTTAGCCAGGAGTTTGAGACAGCCTGGCAACATACTCACGCGACCATGCCTCTACCAAAAATTACATAGTACGCAATAACATAAATGAATAGCATGTTATCTGGAAACCGTTCCACACCGAGCCACTATTTTTTTTTTCTTTTTTTTGAGACACGAGTCCTGCTTTGTTGCCCAGGCTTACGCGCCGTGACGTGGTCAGCGCGCATCAGCCTAGCTCACAGCAACCTCAACTCCTGGGCTCAAGCAATCCTCTGTCTCAGCCTCCAAGTGCTGGACTACAGGGCCATAGGGTGAACCCATCGCCTGGCTCATTTTCTTATAGCTACCTTCAGCGCTTTTGTCACGTTCAATCTGCTTTCTATTTACGTACGCCGCACAGGGTCTCACTCTTGCTCAGGCTGGTTTCGAATTCCTGACCTCAAGCAATCTGCCTACCTCGGCCTCCCATAGTGCTAGGATTACAGGCGTGAGCCACTGCGCCTAGCATGAAACCCACTCTTTTAACAAATCAACTGCCTATAATTTCTCCACATTATCTTTCTATGCTTAAAAGATATCCCAAATTTTACACAGTTGCAGCTTCTACCAGGTGACATATAATTATAACAAACACTATGGTTCAGTGTTCAAGTGTAAGTTAGCATGCCACAATTTGCCATTTTCCTACTGATGGATATAAATATACACTGCAGTGATTCTAGTTTTTGTGTATTTTCTTTCTGATGGGGAGCTGGATTGTCCATTTAGGATAAAGTAATGCCGAGACCTTCCTGACTCTTCAAAGCGGAGCACGGTTACTTTAGTAGTATAAAGTGACTTAGCCAATAATTTTACCTTTATCTTCAATTAACCTATTTAGCAAGGTAAACAAATAACTGAGGCCAGGTGCAGTGGCTCACGCCTGTAATCCTAGCACTCTGGGAGGCCAAGGTGGGATGCTCAAGGTCAGGAGTTTGAGACCAGCCTGAGCAAGAGCGAGACCCTGTCTCTACTAAAAATAGAAAGAAATTAATTGACCAACTAAAAATACATAGAAAAAATTAGCCAGGCATGGTGGGGCATGCCTGTAGTCCCAGCTACTCGGGAGGCTAAGGCAGAAGGACTGCTTGAGCCCAGGAGTTTGAGGTTGCTGTGAGCTAGGCTGATGCCCCGACACTCCAGCCAGGGCAACAGAGTGAGACTCTGTCTCAAACAAAAAACAAAACAAACAAACAAATAACTGAGCACTTGGACTTTGCCTGTCTTCTTCCTATATGGGTTTATTTGGAAATCAAGTGGGGGCCAACTCCGAAAAAGCTTGGCAAGGAGGCGATAGATGGAATGAGGGCCCAGGATGACGCACAAAATGGAAAAACAGCCGAGAGACTGAGAATTCACCATGCTTAACCGAATCCATTTCTGGTCGGGCTGTATTTGGTGCATAAGGTTAAATAAATCAGATGTTCAGTCTTTAAAAAGATAAAGACTAAACATTGTCCTTCCATGACCAGAATGAAGCCTTTTTTTTTTTTTTTTTTTACAACCCTTCTCCTGAAACCAGTGAAAGAATAAACTTTCACCAAAACAAGAAGCCGTGTGGTTTGACAGCAGAGCCCTCTGACTGTCGTGTTGTTTAAGTCTCCGGATGAGTGGGAGGTTTTAAAAGTACCAGAGAAATACCTGCTTCCCACGGCTTTGATGACAACCCGCGGAGAGCAGGCCCCAGCAGCTGGCCCTGGGGTTCCCTACGGCCCCCCACGCTCCCAGCCAGCCCAGCAGCGATGCCCAGCTTACTATCTAAACTGCACCCGGTAGAGCACCGGCCGCGCGCTGCCGTTCAGGACCACGGGCTGCCAGCTCAGCACCTGCTCGGCGTTGTGGAGGCGCATCCTCGGGTGTCGGGGGGCAGGCAGCTGGGAGAGAGGGTCTTGAGAACAAGAGAAGGTGGGAAGAGAGAGAGAGAGAGTCCAAAAGGGACAAAATCAATTGCAGAAATATTTAAACACACATTACCTAAGTCATTTGTACCACTCAGTTTTTGTCAAAGTGCAGACACGGTACTACCTGGTCTCCCTGGGCATACGCCACTCCCAGCCCCGCCTCTGACCACAAAGGTGGCCCTACTGGCACAGTCAGTAGAAAGCAAAGAGGTGCTTGGGGTGGCCCTTCCACCTGCAGGTCCCAGTTAAGATCAGATCCTGGGCCCTGGGGTCTGGCCGGACTGGGATCCCTGTCCCACCCTCGGGGAGTGAGTTTGACTCTGGGTGGGTGGCTTAAGCTGTCCGAGCCTCGGTTTCCACTTCGGGAATAAGGGATCAATAACAGTAACCCCACAGGGCTGTGGTGAAGATTAAACTGGTGAGCACGTGACAATATTGGCCCCAGGTTTGGTACCAAGGGAGTGTCTGGTGAGCCCCCCCAAACACACGTGCACACACGCCAACACCCCGCATCAGGTATGCAAAGCCCAAAGGGCTCGTGGGGAAGAGCGCTGTCTTCTGGGCACCACCAGAGTTGTCCCATTTCTCAAGGACACCCCAGCATCACAATCACTGGGTGCCTGTTAAAACGCAGATTCCCAGGCCCAACCAGGAAATCTGCATTTTAAACAAGCTTTCCAGCTGATTCTTATGCACATTAAAGTTTGAGAACTATAAATAATGAAATAACAAACTCCCCAGGGAACACTGCCTGTATCAGAACCCTCTCTTTGGAGTGGCCTGGGAGAAACACACTCAACCCCCCCCAAGCAGATACTTCTCAGGGAGCCTTCTCTGCACAAAGAAAACACAATGAGGTTAACACTTTCTCTGAATGAAAGATTTATGAGAAATGCCCGGAAGGTGGAAAGTAAGGTTAGAAAAACAGGCTGTTCCAGAATTCAAAGCAGGAAATTCAAATCACACGTTATCAGTAAATGTGTCATCCAAGTGCAGCGCCCAGACCAGCCTGCAGTCTGGCCCCCAGCTCTTCTTCTGCAGGATGCATCATCAAGAGTCTGCAGCCACTTACAGGTGCCCCCCTCTCCACACCTGCGAGCTCTGGCTGGCCTTCATTCAGGCAGCTAACACTTGTCCCCATTCATAGCATCCCACAGGATGACCAGGCGAAAGGCAGACAGGCAAAGTGGGGTGGTGGGAGGCCGGCCCCTCTCCCGGGGTGGGGAACCTGCAGCCCTGGGGCCACATGTGGCATTCTGGACCCTTGACTGCAGCCTTTAAACTGAATCCAAATGTTATAGAACGGGCTGGGCTCGGTGGCTCACGCCTGTAATCCTAGCTCTCTGGGAGGCCGAGGTGGGTGGATCGTTTGAGCTCAGGAGTTCGAAACCAACCTGAGCAAGAGTGAGACCCTGTCTCTACTATAAATAGAAAGAAATTAATTGGCCAACTAATATATATAGAAAAAATTAGCCGGGCATGGTGGCACATGCCTGTAGTCCCAGCTACTCGGGAGGCTGAGGCAGGAGGATTGCTTGAGCCCAGGAGTTTGAGGTTGCTGTGAGCTAGGCTGACGCCACGGCACTCACTCTAGCCTGGGCAACAAAGTGAGACTCAGTCTCAAAAAAAAAAAAAAAAGGAAAGGAAAAAACCCACAAATGTTATAGAACGACTCATTTTAATAAAGGGCTTTGTTCTGTGAAGTTTGGATTCAGTGGTGAGACACAGACTGCACTCTGGGATCTGGAGGGCCACGTGTGGCCTTGAGGCCATCCATCCCTTAGGGGGACCACTGTGCGGCGCCCCATGGGGTGAGTGCCTGTCAAAGACTCCCAGAGACCTCCTTTCCCCGCCTATGGCTGCTGTAACACATCGCCACCTACAGTCTTAAAACAACCCAGGGTTAGCGGGCACGGTGGTGCGCCCTGCAGACCCAGCTCCTTGCGAGGCTGAGGCAGGAGGATCACTGCGCCTGGCAGCTGGAGGCTGCAGTGAGCTATGATCGCACCTGTGAAAGCCACTGCACTTTAGCCTGGGCAAAACAGCGAGACCCTGTTTCTACAAAAACAAAACAAAAAAACCCTAGATTTATTATCTTACAGTTCTGAAAGCCAGAAGTTTGTCTCCCTCTCCCATCTCAGGATCCTTAACTCACATCTGCAGTGTCCCTTTTGGCACATCAGGTAACACGTTCACGGGTGCCAGGGATTAGGATGTGGACACTTTTGAGGACTGTCCCTCTGCCCAGCGCACTGGTCCTTTACCACCTCCCATCTCTGGGGAGGAACCAGCGGGAACATTCTGGCCCTCCTCCTGCTAGCACCTCCTTCTCTCCAGTATCAACATTCAGCCCCCAGGGTGACAAGCCAGGGCTTCCACCCCAGCCGACCCGGGGAACAGCAGACAGCGTCCCTGTGACGGTGGGGGTTCCCAGACCAGCCGTCCACTTTCTTCAACTCCACTCGACTGCGGTGCGAGGGACGCACCTAAGCCGGCTGCGCCTTCCGTCTGAGTCTCTTGTGACCTTACCCTACCTTACAGGAGAAAGGGACCGCAGGTGCCACAAGGAAGTGCCAAGGACTGCCAATTCCTTAAAAAGCGCCCATAGAAATGCCCTCTTCACATCTCAGAAGGCCTGTCCTAGAGCAGCCTTCCTGTCTTTGTCCCATGGTTGTTCCCACGGCCATGTCCCGCCTCGTCCCACGGCTGCTCCCACGGCTACGACTGTTCCCATGGCCACAGCTGCCCATGGCCACGGCTGCTCCCACGGCCATGTCCCACAGCTGCTCCACGGCCACGTCCCGCCTCGTTCCATGGCTGTTCCCATGGCCATGTCCCGCCTCGTTCCATGGCTATTCCCACGGACATGTCCTGCCTTGTCCCACGGCTGTTCCGACGGCCATGTCCCGCCTTGTTCCATGGCTGTTCTGATGGACATGTCCCGCCTTGTTCCCGGCAAGCGCCACTGGGGCAGGAAGGAGGGATAACGGAGCTATGGCTGAGAGCTGCCGGGTTCCCGCAGGTCACAGCTTGCTTCTCTCTTCTCACCTCGAATAGCTGACGAACCACTGCCCCACTGTCAGTATATTCCCAAAGTCTGCTGTGCTGAGCAGGCATTATAAATGATGAATTTTATTTATTTATTTTTTTCTTTTTTAGTCAGAATTTGACATGGGTATGATGAATTTTAAAATACAAAGTTTTTGGCCAGGCTAGGTGGCTCACGCCTGTAATCCTAGCACTCTGGGAGGTCAAGGTGGGCGGATGGCTCAAGGTCAGGAGTTCAAAACCAGCCTAAGCAAGAGCGAGACCCTGTCTGTACCAAAAATAGAATGAAATTAACTGGACAACTAAAAACATAGAAAAAATTAGCCAGGCACGGTGGCGCATGCCTGTAGTTCCAGCTACTTGGGAGACTGAGGCAGGAGGATTGCTTGAGCCCAGGAGATTGAGGTTGCTGTGAGCCAGGCTGATGCCACAGCACTCTAGCCCAGGTAATAAAGTGAGACTCTGTCTCAATAAATAAATAAATAAAGTAAATAAATAAAATATAAAGTTTAAAAAATTATTGTAATTAAAATAATGTACTTGTATTGATTCTTCTTGCCTGTTGAGAAACCTCTTGGATAATGTAATACATCTGTAACTGCTTTTAATAAACTGAAAAATATTTTTTTGTAGTAAAATAACTTATTGATATGTTTTATCACAAGATTTAGCCTAGGCTGGGCATGGTGGCTCATGCCGATAAATAATCCTAGCACTTTGGGAGGCTGAGGCAGGAGGATTGCTTGAGGCTAGGAGTTTGAGATCAGCTTGGGCAACATAGTGAGACCACCACCTCTATAAAAAAATCAACAAACAAAAAATTAGCCAGGCATGGTGGCACGTGCCCATAGTCCCAGGTCCTGCAGAGGCTGAGGCAGGAGGATTATTTGAGCCCAGAAGTTTTAGGTTACAGTGAGTTATGATGATGCCACTACACTCCAGCCTGGGTGACGGAGCAAGATTCTATCTCAAAAAACAAAAACAAACCAAAAAAACCAAAGAAACAAAAACCTCTCACCCTAGTACTAATTTAAAAAACCAAGATTATTGAACTGGACTAATAGATTACTGCTCCAATCTAGAAGACTTATATGTTAGATAGCAACTATTCCTATTACTGAGAAGCAACTCTTAATAGAAGGAAATACAAGTCCTTTTAGGGGATATTTTAAGTAATTCAACTATCAAAATTTCATTTCCAAGAAACCACATTTAGGAACCAAGAGACACTTGCAAAAAGCGAGAGGAGAAATAACCACACTTTCTAACATATAAACATGATTTGATCAATCTCCATATGTATCAGAGTCCCAAGTACCATATATAATTCAGAAATCCGTCATTTCACCAAACTTCTACAAGACCATCTGTCTACATACTACCTGGTTCTTTACAGAAAAAAATTTTCCCATCCCTGGCTTAGAGAGCAGTTCAGATTTGAAAAGGCTGAAAAACTCTGCATGATCTCATGCCAAACAGAATAATCATCATCACTCTTTACTCTGTTCTCTTTTGGATCTACATAATTTACACCTTTTATTTCTTCTTCTTTTTCAATCTGACAAACTCCTAAACATGATTCAAAACCCAGCTCAGTTTGTTCTTCCTTTATCAAACTTTCCTCAACTTTCCCAGCAAGTAGTGTTAAATAAGTTTTTTCATATTTGTATTATAGTACTTTTTTTTTTTTTGAGACAGAGTCTTGCTTTGTTGCCTAGGCTAGAGTGAGTGCCGTGGCGTCAGCCTAGCTCACAGCAATCTCAATCTCCTGGCTCAAGCAATCCTTCTGCCTCAGCCTCCCAAGTAGCTGGGACTACAGGCATGCGCCACCATGCCCGGCTAATTATATATATTAGTTGGCCAATTAATTTCTTTCTATTTATAGTAGAGACGGGGTCTCGCTCTTGCTCAGGCTGGTCTCTAACTCCTGACCTCGAGCAATCCGCCCGCCTCGGCCTCCCAGAGAGCTAGGATTACAGGCGTGAGCCACCGCGCCCGGCCTATAGTACTTTTTATTATAGCACATAGTGTATGTGTATCTATTATAGCACATATTGTAATGCAATTACTTTTTTTTTTTTTTTTGAGACATTGTCTCACTCTGTTGCTCAGGCTAGAGTGAGTGCCGTGGCATCAGCCTAGCTCACAGCAACCTCAAACTCCTGGGCTCAAGTGATCCCACTGCCTCAGCCTCTCGAGTTGCTGGGACTACAGGCATGTGCCACCATGCCTGGCTAATTTTTTCTATATATTTTTAGTTGTCCAGATACTTTCTATTTTTTAGTAGAGACGGGGTCTCGCTCTTGCTCAGGCTGGTTTGGAACTCCTGACCTCGAGCAATCCTCCCACCTCAGCCTCCTAGAGTGCTAGGATTACAGGCGTGAGCCACCGTGCCCGGCCAAATGCAATTACTGTATCTGTTCTTCTAACAATGTTCCTATTTTCTACATTGATTGTCTTAATCATTTTTATATGCTCAGTGCCTAACAAGAGTAGCATACTAATTATGCCAATAATAGAGTTACCAATACTAGTTGAAGTTATGGGTGAACAAACACTGCCTTCTTGCCCCAACCTGCCTGTCACCTCTGACTCACCCTGATCCAGGTGTTTAAGACTTTATACATATTTAAGAATTGGATATCCTATGTCTTAAATGCATAGTCTGGTTAACACACATCACACATAGGTAATAAAATTAAATCAAATTAACATTAAACTAATCATTTAATCTAGACAACTGAGGACTGACCCTTCCGGATCTTTCTGTGTGGGAGGCATTATGATGAAAACCAATTAGACGATCATCAACGATCGATCCCACCTCCAACACCCTGCAGATAAGAAGTAAAAAAAAAAAAAAAATTTCCTGATTCCTCAGCCATAACCAGGAAGTTGCTCTCTTCAGGAAAAGCCAGACATCCAGTTATTTATCTAGATCATTTGTCTCTTTCTACAAAGAATGGTTTTGCTTTCTTGGGAGTAAAATGGGGATATTACCTACGACAAAAGAATGGTTGAGAAAATGAAGAAAGATAATGTATATGAAGTGCTTAGCACCTTGTCTGACCGAGAATAGTGGCCCAACAAGGGGTAGCTATGATTATCATTTATAAAGTTAGCCAAAAGCATTCTAGCTACGTGATTGTTTCAATTGGTGAGATTAGGGACAAACAGGAATTTACCTATTGTGCCTTCATTTGCAATGGTTTTTATGTTGTCAGGGATTTAGGGTCTTTCTTAGTGGTCTTTAAGCATACAAACTATGGACCTGGCACAGTACACATCCAAACCACTGGAAAAGTAAGCAGCAGCTGCTACAATTACAGATAGAAGCCTTAATTCTTCAATACTCAGGTAATTAAATAACTAAAGAGTCAGTTGACTCACTGCACTTCTGAGCTGTTGATTACATTGTATATCTAGAGCAAATGGCCACACTTAATAAAGCATTGGTACAAACTGTATCCAGTTCAATATTTTACATAAGCTCTAAGGGATAGATATTCTAAGTTTCCTTTTTAAAAATTTGTTTCCAATACTCTTTTTCCCCCCCTCCAACTATAAAAGCAGTTTCATGATTACTGAAAGACACCTGTAAATTATGGAAAAGATGGAAACTTTTCTACTACCCCTTTAGCATATAACCATTGTTAATATCTTCACTTTGGACACTGCTAGGGGGAGGGGAAGAAAAAGAATAAAATTTAAAAAAAAGAAAAAATATTTTCACTTTGTGTTTTGCCTTAAAAAGAGTTTATCTTAAAAATAACCCAGTTAGGTTATTTTTTTAACTGCTTAGCATGAAAAATTTCCAAATAGCTGCAAAAATAGAGATTAGTATAAAGCCCTACTACTTGTCAAAGGATCTGTGGATCCAGTTTATGTGCAATGCATCACGCAGAGCAAAACTTTTGGAGAATACAACAAAAGTGAATCGTTAGAAAGACGGCCATGCACCTGGACGCTGTAGCAATGTCGAATTGTAAAGTTTCCAAATACTTCTCTCCACTTCTGGACTCACCGCAGGTGAGTTACAAACAGTTCACAGACCAAGCACTGACCCGAGGTGCTACCACCTGCCGGCCACACGGCCCGGGCAGTCTCCAAATCTCACCCCAAGGAGGCCTAGGGAGGGGCACACGTAGGTTGCTCAAGCCTTGAAGCTGGCCAGGCGCAGAGTCAGGATCCAAACTCGCTTATTCGACTCCCAAGCAAAAACCGCTAATCACAAGGGGAACAAATCCCCAACCCCACATTACGACGTCTTCAGAAGGGAAGAAACTTCTACACTCTTGAGACTATGTAAGTGCTACTCACACTATGACACTCGTCCGTCCACGGGAAAGAACCCGGCGCGGCACAAACACAGAAACATACGGAGACACCTGTATCTACATTTTCCTCCCGGAGGTCTTTCCCCCTCTTTTCTCTTAGTATGTTTGGCTCGAAAGTGTGGTCAGTCGGTGCCGAAGCGAGAAGGAGGCAGAGCCCGAGGAAGGGGCTGCCGGGGTGGGCAGGGCTGGGATAACAGCTGGGGCCGGCTGACACCCCCACCACCAACCGAAGGGACCCAGCCATTCCTGGGTGCTGCCCCCCATGTGCATGATTTGGGGCGATCCGGATTTCATTTCCAGTATCACACGCGCCCGGCCAAGGGAAGACTTGGTCAGGTCACAAGTCCGCGACGGAGGTCTCGGCCCCGGGGCTGCAGGACCGAGTCCGGCTTCCAGCTCGGCCACTGGGAGGGCACCCGGGCGGGGGCCACGTTCGGGATGGCGGAGTGAGCAATCTGTGGCCAGCGGAGACGGCCCCTGCCCAAGCCCTGGATTCGATTTTTTCTTTGTTCATTTTGAAAAAGTCGGAGACTCGAGCCTCACTGTTTCCCCGCACGGGTGGGGGTGGGTAAGAGGCGCGGCAGTGTGTCCCGCTCCAAGAAGGCGCACTGCAAGTGTCCCCTTCCTCGGGGCCGGCGCGCCGCTCCCCCCAGTGCTCCAGCTCCCAGACCAGAGACCGCCGGAATTCCCCGCCGCGCGCCCCACGCCCGCTGCGGGCTCGCTCCCCCGGCCCGTCGGCTCCCGCAACCCCGCGGAACCGCAGCGGGTCGGGGCACCCGGCGGACCCCCACGCGATCGGGGCACCCGGCGGACCCCCCACCCGATCGGGGCACCTCGGGGACCCCGCCCAGTCGGGGCACACCGTGGACCCCCACCCGGTCCGGACACCCAATGGACCCCACCCGGTCGGGGCACCCGGCGGACCCCACGCGATCGGGGCACCCGGCGGACCCCCCACCCGATCGGGGCACCTCGCGGACCCCGCCCAGTCGGGGCACACCGTGGACCCCCACCCGGTCCGGAGACCCAATAGACCCCACCCGGTCGGGGCACCCGGCGGACCCCACGCGATCGGGGCACCCCGCGGACCCCACCCGCCACGGCAGCGCCTTCCTCCGGCCTTTGGGGCCCCAGGCCCGCCTTACCTGGCGGGGGCGCCGCGGCGCCGAGCAGCAGCAGCTGCAGCCACAGCAGCGGCCACAGCGGCGGCGGCTGCATGGCCCGGGGCGCGGGGCGCGGCAGGCTCGGCGGTGGCTCAGGCCGCGGCCCGGCTCCTGCCTGGGGTCCCCCGAGCTCAGGGCGCGGCCCGGCTCCTGCCTGGGGTCCCCCGAGCCGCGCGCGTCGCCGCCTCGGCCGCCATGGCGAGCGCGGGGCGCGCAGGGCCCGCCTCTTCCCGAGCAGCGGCGGCGCGGCCGGCGAGGGGAGCCCGTGCGGCCGCCCGCGCCCAGGCCGGCCCCGCCCGCAGAGCCGCCCCCGCGCCGCCCCCGCGGGACTTTCCCCGCTCGCGAGGCCCGGGCTCCTCCCGGACCCGGCGCCCAGCGCAGCCGGGCCCAGGCCTCTGGGGCCGCCCGGCCCGCACCCCACCGAGGCCGCCTGTCCCCGCGAAGAGTGGGCGCGGGCCTGGCACACAGGAGCGGCGGGGACGGCGCCGCGATCCTTCTGGAAAGACCCCTGGAAACCCAACGTCCCGGGCGGGCCTGGCGGCGTCGCTCGCTCCTCCTCCCCCGGCTACTCCGGTGCCTGGATCGCACAAATCCAGGGTTCGTCCCTCTAGGTGCAACTGCTGCTTTCTTCATAGCAAAAAACTCATATTGAGCTTTTAACCCCATTTAAAAAAGGGATTTAAGGTACAGGAGTTAGAAAGGGTTCCAGTAAAGGAAGGATAATGGGGGATAATGGGCACAGAGCAACGGGAGAGAAACTTCCTGCTTTCCTCATCATAATGGCATGTGGCTTTGGCCTGAGTGCGGAGGACATCGCACAGGGGCCGGGCAGGGACAGGCCTGCTTTTCCAGCGGAGCCTGTTGGGAGAGGGAAGATGGGCCATACATACGGCCAGCTCAGCACGAAGGATGGGGACAAGGAAGAACCAGGGAGGAGGGAGACAGGGAATTAAAGGAAAAGTCACCGGGCCCCGAGGGGAGCCTGCCAGGCAGGGTGACAACACGGGTGTTTTGCAACAGAGACTTTTACTTTGGGACTTCCCGTATTCCTTTCTTTATTTCCTTTCTGTATAACTCTTTTGAAATCAGCTACCCTTTTAAAAATAGGTGATGAAATACTTAGCAGGTATTTGGATTACACTCTGGGTATTTCAAGACATAGAGATGTTATCTGTTACCAGCACTTGCCCAGGAGGCCACATCAGAAGAAGAAGGACGAGTTATTGAGGAGGAGAGAGACTTGTATTGCTTTGACATCAAAGGAGGAAAATGGTAGACTGTCATCTCAGAATCCAAATTCCTGTACGGAGAAATACAGAGCCTTTAAAGGGAGGGCCCTCAGCAGCTAGGCTATTGTCGTTCAACTACAGTTAATGTTTTTAGTCATCCCATCTCTGTGTCCCATCTCTACTTAAGAACAAGCAGAGGCCCAGGTGCGGTGGCTCATGCCTATAATCCTAGCACTCTGGGAGGCCGAGGCCGGTTGATTGCTCGAGGTCAGGAGTTTGAAACCAGCCTGAGCAAGAGTGAGACCCCCTTCTCTACTGAAAATAGAAAGAAATTAGCCAGACAACTAAAAATATATAGAAAAATTTAGCCGGGCACGGTGCTGCATGCCTGTAGTCCCAGTTACTCGGGAGGCTGAGGCAGGAGGATCTCTTGAACCCAGGAGTTTGAGGTTGCTGTGAGCTGGGCTGATGCCAGGGCACTCACTCTAGCCTGGGCAACAAAACGAGGCTCTGTCTCAAAAAAAAAAAAGACCTAGCAGAGATCTCCAACCTCCACACTCCTGGACCTCAGCCAGCCAAGTGCCAGGCCTCCTGGTCCGTCTCCTGCAGCCCAAAGAACAAAAAATATTCCCCTGCCCCTCCTGACTACTGCCCTGCAGCAGGGGTGCAGGTCTCAGTTCCCAAAAAGAGTGGGGGAAATTTGAAAGAGATAGAAAACATTTTTTGCCATTTTTGTTTCCAGGCCATTTCCTCTGTTACGCATTCCCCACTCTCAATTTTATCTATGGGAGGAGGGGCGACTACTCTGCTACACATTTGTATGTTAAATAAATAAAGCAGGATATAAGTTGGAAATCTCTTTAAATTGATGCACTGAAAATGACTGGGAAAAATATGCCAAAATATGAACATGAAATAGGTTGTGGGATTATGAATGGTAGCAGTTTTCTTTTTTTCTACTTTTCTCTTTTTTCCCCAATGCATCTTTTACTTTTATAACAGGGAGGGGAAAATCATGTTAAAGAAAAGGGCAAGTGTCACTTGCCTCAGCCGAGAGGCCAGGAAGGACTTGTGACCTCATTTTGTTACTGAAAGCTCAGCACTTGTCCACAAGGCCAAATCGGAAGAACAAGGACAAGTGGTTTGAGGGGAAGAAAAGAGTTTCATTACTTTGCTGGCAAAGGAGGAGGATGGAGACTCCTGTCTGAAATGCCATCGTCCTGATAACAAGCAGAAATACAGAGCTTTTAAAGACTGGGCTGGCCGGGCGCGGTGGCTCACGCCTGTAATCCTAGCTCTCTGGGAGGCCGAGGCGGGCGGATTGCTCGAGGTCAGGAGTTCGAAACCAGCCTAAGCAAGAGCGAGACCCCATCTCTACTATAAAAAAAAATAAATAAAAAAAAAATAAAAAAATAAAGACTGGGCTCTCAGCTTCAAGCAATTCCTGTTCAACTACAGTTGCTGATTCTGATGTCCCATCTCTGCTGAAGACAATCTGGTGGCCTCCGCCCAGAACCTCCCTTTACTAGGTCCCGCTGGGTCATCTCCTGTTGCCAAATAATAGAAGACTTACCCTGCCCCTCCTAACCACTGGGCTGAGGCAGGCATGTAGGCTTTAGATCTCAAAAGGAGTGGAGGATGTTTTAAAGAGACAGAAAATATTTTTGCTATTTTTTTCGGACCATTCCCACTGTTACACTTTGAGATAGCATGTTCATGGGCAGCCGCACTGAAGCCTGTGGTCTTGACCCAGGATGGTAAAACCCAGGGGGTACTTCTTTCTCCTGAGCTGGAAAGTCTCTTTCCAGAGCTTTCCCTGCTAGCAGATAGAGGGTTTATGTTTTTCCTACATAAGTCCTTGGCAGAGTACAAAAAGGAGCCCACCCAGTTTGCTCTGCAGATGGGCGTGGAGCACGCAATATCCCAGTTGCAAGTAGTTGTCTCCCAGCCCTAAAGCAGCTTGCCCTGGACAGGCCAGTTTCTCGGGGGTCGGCATGTCTGTTTCCTGTTCCTCCTGGCTGGAAGACTCTTGAAATCATTGATAGCTGACTCTATTTCCACCGAGATTCCCAACCTGAAGAAAACGGAAGCTAATCCTATTGGTATTTCTTCAGCAGGTGTCTGACATCTGCTGCTCTTAGTCTTTTTCCATTTCTATGGTACCTGCAGATCAGCAGTGTAGGGGACTGACATATATTTTCCTAGTTTAAGAATTCAAGTTAGTTAGTAATGTACGTGTTCTGCCCAGAGTGTTTGAAAGTAATGTGTTTCGGACAGGCTCCCTGTGATAAACAAAGGGGTTGCCTAGAGGCATAACAAAGGACCTGAGTTGCAAGTAAGCAAGAGCTACTCCACCCCATGGCATTGGGGGTCTAGAGGCCACATGATAAACATTGTTCCTGTGATTGCTGTCCCATAAGATGGCTGGTTAGTTAATGACGGGTAAGACCCCTCAAGGGAGGGGTGACCTAAGCCAGGCACAGCCGCTGGGGTTTAGTCAAAGATCTTAGGGGGTCACCCTAAGAGAAGCTGGGGATGAGAAATGCCCCCTGTGGCTCACCTTGCCCATCCTTGCTAATTTCAGTCTTTTATCATCTATGCCTAGTGCCTAGAGCAACCACCTTGAAATTCTGAGTCAGGGGATATCTGCTTCCCTAAGGCTATTCCGGAATTTATGGCTATCACTGCCACACCTGGGTGGTTACTACAAGGAACTAACTTTAATCTTTTAGAGTATAAAAATAAAACTGACCCGGTGTATTATTACTCAAGTCAACCATCTGTCTGTGTGTCCGTGGTTTTCTTTGTGTTCTGCGTTTGTGTTTTATGTTCTGTATTCATCCTCCGTCCTGTAAACGGGCCATGACAAGCAGGCAATACCTGATTATTGCATGTAACCTCTTAAGTAAGTTCTCCCTCCTGCAGTTTCTCCCCTTTGGAGGCAGATGTCCTGGGAACATGGTGAAAGCTTAAACTGTAGTAGCCCCCTATTGCAGGGACAGGGCAAGGCTGTGGAAAGGCACCATGTTCACATGGTCACATGCTTTTGTGAAATCTGCAAAGTAAGAGATTTTAGCCACAAATGCTCAGACCTCTGTCTCTTCCCTCTTTGAGTTTCCTCCCAACATATTCCTCATGTAGGGTGGTGTTGCAGTGGCTATGAGATTTTTGAGAAATGTCTCAACATTTTGCAGCATATCTATATCTATCTATCTATCTATCTATCTATCTATCTATCTATCTATCTATCTATCTATATATATAGAGAGAGAAGTCAACAACAAATGATGAAGTTAGAAACGTCTCTACACTATCAATAATTTAAAAGCAGGGTTTGATAAATTATGCTAGAGTAACAACCGAATTAACTTTCTATAAAGAAGATTACAAAGGTGGTCACGTATAGAGGCAAAGATGACAGTAAAAAATGTACATAAAGAGTATTATGGAGGTAATCAGGCAATTAACCAGTGTAAATATTGTTTGTTTATTTTTTGGATTTTGTGATGGTGGTGGCATTGGGAAGTTTTTAAAAATTTGTAACCTGTTATTTTCTCATTCCAAATAGTACTTTTGTGCCTAATTTTATACTTAGTTGTCTATCCTTTTATAAAGAAGTTTCCACATATATAACCTTCAGCCCTATAAAACATGAATCCACCCGTTCCTTTCCATTCATTTGCTGCCTTCTGAAACGCTTCCCCCTAATAGTCTAGACGGCTTCTTCACCTCCGTCGGTGGATGGATGGGGGGTGGCTGAAAGAAGCCAACATTTTTGGCTGGTCAGAGATGCTTCTCCGTATGTTATCACACTCAGTCCTCACAGTTGGGGAGGTGACAGCTGCCCCACAAGGAGACAGCAGACTTTGGTAACTTGCCCTGCGGTAGATTTGCCCTGTGCCAACTCTGCTAAGCTGTGACTGCATCTCCTAGAATTCCCTTCTCTGAATAGTTCCGAGGTATCAAGGGCAAGGAGGGTGTTTGCGTGTGTCTCAGACTGTTTTCTGTTGCTTAGAACACCTAAAACTGGGCAATTTGCAAAGAAAAGGAGTGTATTTCTTACAGTTCTGGAGGATGAGAAGTCCAAGGTCAAGGGATTGCATCTGGTGAGAGCCTCTTTGCTGGTGGGGACTCTTTGCAGAGTCCCAAGGTGGTGCAGAGTGTCACATGGTAAAGGGGCCAAGTGTGACAATGTGCTCAGGTCTCTCTTCCTCATCTTATAAAGCCACCAAGGGAGTCCCACTTCCATGATGATCTGTTGATCCATTGACCCATCAATCTATGAATGGGTTCATCCATTTTCATGAGGCAGGGCCTGCATGACCCAATCACCCCACCTCTCAATAGTGCCACATTGGGGATTAAAATTTGGGGGACCCATGAGAACCCGAGCCGTGTGTAAGACTCAGGGGAGGTGGGAGTGAAGTGCTGCCATATTCCTTCACACCTGGGAGGTTGGGGCAGGGTGGCGTTGCAGCTCACAGCGTGTGGCTTCTCTGCTGGTATCCCGGATGGCAGCTCCTGGGGATCCTGTGTGGTTGCGTGAGTTGGAGGTAAGGAGGTGGAGAGAGACTGAGGGGAGTTCCAGGCCAGCCTGAGGTTCCAGCCAGTCCCTGATTCCTCCACCTCTGTGCACCTTCTCCTGACCTCCTGCCCTGAGGACCTCAGGCTCCAGCATCAGACAAGGACCAACTGTCTCCCCGAGATAGGGCACGCATCTCTTGTGTGTTTGAGTGAGGTCAAATCCCTATAACACAATCTGTCTCTGTCTCTGTCTCTGTCTCTGTCTCTCTCTCTCACACACACACACACACACACACACACACACACACACACACACGTCACATGGGGTTCTGCTCCTCCGATCAAAACCTGGCTGATCATGTCCCAAATCACACAGCCCATGAGTAGCAGTGGGGTCCTGGCCTGCCCTGTCCTGTGCATGTCACGTCCTTCCATTCAGTTCTCCTGTAATCCAGCCGCCTCCTACCCTCCACAGCTCCCCAACAAGACCTGCTGTTCCCTCAGTCTTTGAAGCTATATTTCTTCTTCTTCTTCTTTTTTTTTTTTTTTTTTTTTGAGACAGAGTCTCACTTTGTTGCCCAGGCTAGAGTGAGTGCCGTGGTGTCAGCCTAGCTCACAGCAACCTCAATCTCCTGGGCTCAAGCAATCCTCCTGCCTCAGCCTCCCAAGTGGCTGGTATTACAGGCATATGCCACCATGCCCGGCTAATTTTTTCTTTTCTTTTCTTTTCTTTTCTTTTCTTTTCTTTTCTTTTCTTTTCTTTTCTTTTCTTTTCGAGACAGAGTCTCACTTTGTTGCCCAGGCTAGAGTCATTTTTTCTATATATATTTTTAGTTGGTCAACTAATTTCTTTCTATTTTTGGTAGAGACAGTGTCTCGCTCAGGCTGGTTTCAAACTCCTGACCTCTAGCGATCCACCTGCCTCGGCCTTCCAGAGTGCTAGGATTACAGGCGTGAGCCACCTCGCCTGGCCCGAAGCTGTGCTTCTTGAAGGTCATGTGGGCCCTACGTCTCTACCTCCTCTGCTACTGGTCGCCCCACCTGCTCACCCCCTTCCTGCCTCTGCCTCTCCCCCGCTTCCCCCTCTCCATACCCACAATCCAGATTCTAAAACTCCATCTCTGGCCTGGGTTTCTACTTCCTGAGGACTTTGTCATCTTCCCTGGTTACCGTCTTCCACTGTTTGACATCATCTGTGTCATCCTTGGTCTTCAAGGAAATGGGCACCGCCAAAGGCAGGGCTGCCGACCTTGTGTGTGCTGGTGGGCAAGTGTCCTCCATGGATTCAGACAGAGCCACCAGGAGGCCTGTCCCGGCCCGAGGGACCTTCTGTTACTCGCAGGGCCCAGGGGGACCGTGCCTGAAAGAGATGGGCGAGAGAAAGGAACGAGACCAAGCAAAGGGTTGTCAAGGTCCACTTTACTTGGATTTTTAGTAGGTTTTATATACAGAAAACAAGGAAGTAGAAACAGAAAAATAGAGTGGGGGGATGATGAGGCTTGGGTGTGGGCTAATCAGCCCCAATCAGCATCTCAATGGCACCGAAAGCTGTTTGTGAGGGATCACTCAACCCCAACCTGGCAGGGGGTCGGGAACAATTGCAGGTAGCATGCCCTGGAGCAAGCACGTCATGGAATGCATTCTTCTCTGAACTATAGCTGGGGGGCTGGGTGCTATTTTCGTCTTAGGCTATTTTCCGTGTGTGTAGGACAAGTCAGGGCAAGTCAGGACAAGTCGTTGGAATGTGGAGGGTCTTAGTCTCCCAACAGAGGCCCTGGATCATCACCAAGTGGGGCCTTGATTTGGGACTTGGTGTCTTCTGTTCCAAGAAACTCTAGGATTAAGGTCAGAGGGATTGGCACATCGGCAAAAGGACAGGACTCCAGTGGTGGGTTTTCTCACTCTGTTGGTCCCCGGCCACAGCCTTGTCCCATCACCCTACAAATGTCACATTTCTACTTCCCCAGTGGGGCCACCGTAAAACCTCACTCCAAAAATGCCTAGTCTTTTTCCACTCTGCCACCTCCTATCGGGAGCCCTCCCAGGATAACTGTTACAAAATACGACATTCTACATCTCAGTCTTTGTTTTAAGGAGTCTAATATCCTGAAATTTGTCAGGGAGAAGACAGAACAGGCAAAGAGAAAAGAAAATTTGACAGTTCCTCTTCACCCCTGGAAAAAGAGAAGAGATCCCTCCATTTTAGATAGATCTCAAAGCTTTGATGCTCCTGACCCTAGGTTTTCAGAGCAGGATTTGCGTAATGAAACCTCTTGGGTTTTGGCATTCAGAGAAACTCAAACTGATCCCTGTTTTCTGGAAAGATTAAGATAATACCATTTTGGCCGGGTGCGGTGGCTCACGCCTGTAATCCTAGCACTCTGGGAGGCCGAGACGGGCGGATTGCTCAAGGTCAGGTGTTCGAAACCAGCCTGAGCAAGAGCGAGACCCCATCTCTACTATAAATAGAAAGAAATTAATTGGCCAACCAATATATATAGAAAAAAATATTAGCCGGGCATGGTGGCGCATGCCTGTAGTCCCTGTACTCGGGAGGCTGAGGCAGGAGGATCGCTTGAGCCCAGGAGTTTGAGGTTGCTGTGAGCTAGGCTGATGTCACGGCACTCACTCTAGCCTGGGCAACAAAGTGAGACTCTGTCTCAAAAAAAAAAATCATACCATTTTGTGTGTGTGTGTGTTTAAATTTGCTTTTTGGGATCCTGTAGTTCTCCAGAGAAAACCTGGCAGGTGGGCAGGAGTAGGGGCAGTTCATGCACAGAGGCTGTAAGTGAGCGAGGCCCAGCCAGGAGGCCGACAGGGCGTCTGAGCAGGCGCCACAGCACCGTTGGCACACTGCCAGCTGGGCCCACACTCTCCGGTAAGATCCTACCCTATGCTGTATATGTTGCTGCCAATCACATAACAAACTTATTAGGTAGGGGTGGTGAGTTCTTATCTGGTTTTCTTTTCTTTTTTTTTTTTTTGAGACCGAGTCTCATTCTGTTGCCCGGACTAGAGTGCCATGGCATCAGCCCAGCTCACAGCAACCTCAAACTCCTGGGCTCAGGCAATCCTCCAGCCTCAGCCTCCTGAGTAGCTGGGACTACAGGCATGCGCCATCATGTCCGGCTAATTTTTTCTATATATTTTTAGTTCGCCAATTAATTTCTTTCTATTTTTAGTAGAGATGGGGGTCTCACTCTTGCTCAGGCTGGTTTCGAACTCCTGACCTTGGGAGATCCTCCCGCCTTGGCCTCCCAGAGTGCTAGGATTACAGACGTGAGCCACCTCGCCCAGCCCTCTTATCTGGTTTTCTGACTGTCCAGCATGTTCTGAATACCCTTGCTGTGTTTGGGGACATTTCAGTCTCATGAGGAACCCCCTTCCCTTCCATAAAATCCAAATTCCCAGCCTCCCTGTCACACCAGGGGGAGCCTGTGGGAGCCTCCTTCTACCATGTAACCATCCTGCGCCAAAAATCACGAACAATTTTTCACTCCGAAGAACCAGTTGGAGATCCCCACAGACCTCCCAATTCCTTGACAATTTTCCATAAGGGAAATCAGCCCACTATATCTAAGAATTTTATGTCACATATTCAAAAAGTTAAAAACACTTGTTCTCTCTTTCTTTGCAACAGACCTATGCAAACATACCCTTTCAGATACATTCTTTACTTTGTTCATTGTGACCCTCCTGTTTCAAAATACACATTGGAATCTCTTTTCCAAACATATATTTTGATGACTGTTCTCTTTGTGTTTGGAAAATGTGTGCGTAAACCTCTTGTAAATCTTGTATACTCTGGGTTTGTTCACCTGCAAGAACGGGAGTCTTCGTCTCGTGTGTGTGTGTGTGTGTGTGTGTGTGTGGGTGTCTATGCCAATGTGTGAAAAAGAGCCACAGAACAGAGATGTCAGGCACCGAAGAGAATACTGTGTCACCTGGCTTCCATCTATGGATGCTTCTTTCATTCCATGTGCACTGTTTAAGAAACAGCAAAGGCCGGGTGCGTTGGCTCTCGCCTGTAATCCCAGCACTCTGGGAGGCCGAGGCGGGCGGATTGCTCAAGGTCAGGAGTTCAAAACCAGCCTGAGCAAGAGTGAGACCCCGTCTCTACTATAAATAGAAAAGAAATTAATTGGCCAACTAATATATATATAGAAAAAATCAGCCGGGCCTGGTGGCGCATGCCTGTAGTCCCAGCTACTCGGGAGGCTGAGGCAGGAGGATCGCTTGAGCCCAGGAGTTTGAGGTTGCTGTGAGCTAGGCTGATGCCACGGCACTCACTTTGCCTGGGCAACAAAGCAAGACTCTGTCTCAAAAAAAAAGAAACAGCAAAAGTCACAATTTCAATTTTGCTGTGTTGCCACAGCAAAGCCACCGTGGGCGCACGGGCTCCAGCGAGTGCCGTCCCTGTTCTGCAGCCACGCGAAGTCGCCAGCTGGTGTCACTGGTGGCGGGGCGGCATCGCCACCCGCGGGAGTGCAATTCTAGCCACGAGGGAAAAAACTTGCTTTCCTTCACTCTCCAGGAAGCCTCCTGGAGCAAATGAATGACTTCCACGGGGCTTTCTGAACCGCCGAGAGCACTCGGGGAGCTCCCGGCAACGCGGGGACCGGGCTGGGATGACCCCGTGTCACAGCGTCGGGGCACGCTGTGGAGGCCTGCCTGGCCCCCGTTCCTGGGGGCTGCACTGGTTTGCTGCTGCTGCTGCAATGCATCACCACAACACAGTGGCTTATTACAAAACTTCATTGTCTTACAGTTCTAGAGGTCGGAAATCCAAAATGGATTTCTGTGGCGCTTCCGGAAGCTCTGGGGAGAATCTTTTGCGGGTTCTAGAGGCTGCCCGTGTTCCTTAACTCCTGAGCCCTTTGTCCCCCTCCAAGCCAGCAGTGTAGACCTTCGCTCTCTCACCCTTGTCTCCCCGTCCATGGTCACGTTGCTCCTCTGACCCTCCCCCCCGCCTCTTTCCCATATAAAGGCCTTTGTGCTTACCTTGGGCACACCCAGAGAACCCCGGGTAAGGTCGCCTCCATCTCAAGATCCTTAACTTAGTCACTTCTGCTAAGTCCCTTTCCCCAGGCGAGGTCACATATTCACAGGTTGGGAGGAATAAGGTCATGGACATCTTTGGAGGTCATCGTTTGGCCCACCACAGGGACGGCACAGAATGACACCAGGCAGGTGGGTGGCTGCTCTCAGCTTTTCTTCCTCGGGCTCTTTGCCCCACTTCCGTCTTGGACTGTCCCCTTCCGCTCCGCCCAGCACACACGCACACACCTCTGCCTAGCCTGGCAGCCGTAGGCAGGCCACTGCATTCCCTCCCTGTCAAAGTCTGGGGCCCCTGGCCTTTGCAGGGGGCTGTTTGCTGGTGCCCGTATCAGCCCTTTCTTTGTAAAATCCAGTGCGCTGTTAATTTAGCTTAGTCAAAGCCTGCCTTAAACTGGAGAGGCGGTGGAAGGATTAAAATTGTTTTCTAGGGCCGGGGAATTAGGGCCCGTAGGAGCAGGAAGGCTTTGCTGCACTTCTTGAATAATCTGTCTAAATTCATTTACGGACAAGGCTACAACTTCCTGCTTGCAAAAAGGGCGTAGTGGGGACCAGGCCTGGCCACTGCCGGCCAGTCGTTAGGTCTGCAGTAGGGAGGGAGAGGTTATTGGGAACAGCAGTGTTTTTAATTCCTTCCTCTCCACAAACAATTCTTTCTGGGTACATATTCCCCTTGGAAAGGCTCGTGCCAGGATTGAGGCTCCCAGGAAAAGCCAGTGTGTGGTGTAATGATACCCATCTCCCAGGTAGGTCAACACTCTGGATTAGCCTGGGCAGCACGGAGGAAAAATCAACTGGATTCTACTACTCAATAACAAAAAAATGTTAATTCCTGCCTTGTTCCCTAGAATTCTAAAACAGCTTAGAATGATAAATGTATAGCTGTTTGTACCATATGCTTGTGTTTTTTAATGTAAAGATTTATATGTAGGCCGGGCAGAGGTGGCTCACACCTGTAATCCTAGCACTCTGGGAGGCCAAGGCGGGAGGATCACTCAAGGTCAAGAGTTCGAAACCAGCCTGAGCAAAAGGGAGACCCCATCTCTACTAAAAATAGAATGAAATTAATTGGACAACTAAAAATATATAGAAAAAAAATTAGCCGGGCATGGTGGTGCATGCCTGTAGTCCCAGCTACCCGGGAGGCTGAGGCAGAAGGATCACTCGAGCCCAGGAGATTGAGGTTGCTGTGAGCTAGGCTGACGCCATGGCACTCAAGCCTGGGCAACAAAGTGAGACTTTGTCTCAAAAAAAAAAAAAAACAAAACCCAAGAGTTATATGTAAAGATTTAATGTAAAGATTTATAAATAAAAAGAATATATGATATAAAATATTAGATTTAAAAAAATTATAGGAAAATATGTAAGCCTAGGAAATTTAAAAGCCCTATACATTTACTGAACTCAGCTCCCTAGCAACCAAAATAAAAACCAGATGTGTTATTTTTGCACTACAATATGCAAATGTGCCCTAAGATCTGAAGTAAGAGATGAGCTGTTTACAAGCACACGCATTTTGCTGCCAGTCTGACTTCTGCTACAGATAATGGCTCTTATTGCCTTTGGAAGGACTTCTGCCTCAGTTGGGGTAGGCTAACTTAAAATGGAATTTAAATGTATTTGGAACTTCTAAACTTAAATACATAAGCTTTTATTACTGTTTTTATTCCTTGGTATAGTAGTAGTATTTGCTCATTGTCATGAAATTATAAAACACAGAAAAACATAAAGAAGAAAAAAGAATCTCATTAAAATATTATACCCCTAGCACTCTGGGAGGCCGAGGCGGGCAGATTGCTCAAGGTCAGGAGTTCAAAACCAGCCTGAGCAAGAAGCCATCTCTACTAAAAATAGAAAGAAATGAATTGACCAACTAAAAAACATATGTACACAAAATTAGCCGGCATGATGGCATATGCCTGTAGTCCCAGCTACTCGGGAGGCTGAGGCAGCAGGATCGCTTGAGCCCAGGAGTTTGAGGTTGCTGTGAGCTAGGCTGACGCCACGGCACTCACTCTAGCCTGGGCAACAAAGTGAGACTCTGTCTCAAAAAAAAAAAGTATTACACCCCAGAAATAACCATAGTTTACATACTGAAACTTCTAAATTTTTAAGCACCAGTAACATGGCAAGGAGGCGGCATTATTTCACCCCTTTTGAGAAGGTTATAGAAACCACATCCAGGACAGAAGAGGAAGAAATCTTTCATTTCTCACGTGTTTCATGATTGTAGGAAGATCGGGCTGCCTGTAGTTTCAGGACATTCTCGACAGATAGAGTCTTGACTGTGCAGAACCCTGAGCATGACTTGGGCCAGAGAAAAAAAGAGATACCAGATGTTCACTTTTCAGCAACCCTCTAGCTTAATTCTTTGGCTGCCTAACTCCTTCCATAGAAAAGTCGTGCTTGCTCTTAGGTGCTGGGCAGTAAGCCATCACGTCGAGATTATCCTACATTTGGGGGCTAGGCCTTAAAATGCCTTGTGAATGCCCCTTCTTTTACAGCGTCTTCAACTATCATCACCAAGAACTTTCTTTTTTCTTATTTTCTTAGAAACTCCGAACACCATAGACATGTGACTTACTATGTAGCAATATAAAACAAATCAAAACAACACAGACTCATTTAGGCACGTTTGTTGGCAAGAATACAAAGAGTCCAGGGACAGTGAGGCGTGTTTAGAAAGCACAAGGTTGTTTTCAATATTGTGCCCTTCTCCCTCCTGCCTCCCTCCCTCCTTTCTTTCCTTCCTTCCCTCCTTCTTTCATTCATTTAGCAAGTATTTATTGAGCATCGACTCCATGCTAGACCATGTTCTGAACACAACGGGTAAAAACTCTGAGCTTGTGGAGTTTACATTTTAGTGGTGGTGACAGAGGACACAGCGGGCAATTGTCGCATGCGGTGGCCGGTGTCTTGGAGGACGGTGTCTCACTATGGAGAGGACGGTGGAGAGTGGATTGCATCCAGTCCCAGGTGATTCTCTTGGGGTCTGCAGGAGTAGATTCTACAGGGACCCCTTCTCTCTCTTCTGCTCCCGTGCTAGGGGTAGGTCCCCAGGTGGCCGGTCCCTCTGTGTAGGAGGCGGGGGTTCCTGGCAGGGACCAGGGTGGCATTTCTGGCTGTGCCAGAGAAGCACCAAGCCACACAGCTTTTCAACATCCCAACAGCAGCTGCAGGAAACACTAGCTCCGGCACGTGGCAGGTGTTCGCTGAGTGGCAGTTCCTGCTCACCTGTCAAAGGGCCTCACCTCCAACTCACAGTCCCATGACCTCCCCTGGCTTGGGGGAGCCCCTGCCCTGCTTGGCTTGCCCAGGACATGCAGTGGGGAGGTCACCGTTTCTCCTGGCACTGTCCCAGTCAAATACCCAGGGACCTGGGTGCACCTGCGAATGCCTCCTAACTCATTCCCCCAGGTGGCACAGGGACATCTGCACAAATGAAGCCCTAGAACCCACCTGGAAGATCTTAGCCCACACCCAGGGACACTCTTGTTTCCCAAATGAACATCACTCACATTGCCTCAGCAAACAGTCCTAAAGAACTTTGGTTCAGGTCGGGCACGGTGGCTCATGCCTGTAATTCTAGCACTCTGGGAGGCTGAGGCGGGTGGATTGCTCGAGGTCAGGAGTTCGAAACCAGCCAGAGCAAGAGGGAGACCCCGTCTCTACTATAAATAGAAAGAAATTAATTGGCCAATTAATATATATAGAAAAAAATTAGCCGGGCATGGTGGCGCATGCCTGTAGTCCCAGCTACTTGGGAGGCTGAGGCAGAAGGATTGCTTGAGCCCAGGAGTTTGAGGTTGCTGTGAGCTAGGCTGACGCCATGGCACTCACTCTAGCCTGGGCAACAAAGCGAGACTCTGTCTCAAAAAAATAAAAAAAGAACTTTGGTTTAAATGAAGGCAACATTAATAAATAAAATATCTGGACACTGACGTTTTGATTTATTCAAGTGTAGAAAGAGATGGATCCATTTACTTTCTTGTTCCTCAACAAATACTTATTGAGAACTCCCTACATGCCAAGAATTGTTCTAGACACTTGAGATACAATGGCGACGAAAGTATTAGCGCTAAACTTAAACTTCAACATACCCACATACCCTAGGACTTTTTTCCCTTTCTTCCTTTTTTTGATACAGTCTCACTCTGTTGCACGGGCTAGAGTGCTGTGGTATCAGCCTAGCTCACAGCAACCTCGAACTCGTGGGCTCAATCGATCCTCCTGCCTCAGCCTCCTGAGTAGCTGAGACTACAGACGCCACCCTCCTGCCTTGGCCTCCCGGAGTGCTAAGATTACAGACGTGAGCCACCTTGCCCTGCCCCCCCCCCTTTAATTTTTTTAATTAAAGATGAGGGTCTGGCTACATTTCCTAGGCTGGCCTTGAACTCCTGGGCTCAAAGGATCCTCTGGTCTTAGCCTCCCCAGTAGCTAGGACTACATTTGCACAGCATCTTGCCTGGCTTTTAATTACTCAATAATTACCTACCAGTAAAAAGTGTTGCTTAAACAGGAAGCAAGACACATCAGTGGACAAAATGATTACTGAAAACATTCTGTACTTCCTGACCTAGATAAGTTTTTTCATCAGCCTAAAGAGTGCATCTTTATTAAATAGCTATGCATTTCTTCACAACAGCACTCGGAAACAAGAACCAAAAAATCATTTTTGCTATTTAAATCAAATTAAATCAGGTTCCATGCCCAACTTCCCAGTGCTCTAGGGTTGGACAAAGCTCAGGAAATGCAGGAAGGGACGGCTGGCCTTGAAGCTGCCCTAAGCACCGCTGAGATGCTCAGCTGTTTATTCAAAGATGGTGGATGGCCAGGCTCACGCCTGTAATCCTAGCACTCTGGGAGGCCGAGGCAGGCGGATCGCTCAAGGTCAGGAGTTCAAAACCAGCCTGAGCAAGAGCGAGACCCAGTCTCTACTAAAAATAGAAAGAAATTAATTGGCCAACTAATATATATAGAAAAAATTAGCCAGGCCTGGTGGCACATGCCTGTAGTCCCAGCTACTCGGGAGGCTGAGGCAGGAGGATCGCTTGAGCCCAGAGTTGAGGTTGCTGTGAGCTAGGCTGACGCCACGGCACTCACTCTAGCCCGGGCAACAAAGTGAGACTCTGTCTCAAAAAAAAAAAAAAGAGCAAAAAACACAGCACCTGTGATATCACATGGCTTCCCTATAGTAACTAATTTAATCATTGGGTTCTTTTTTAATATAAAGTTTATGGCTTTAAATAATTTCAGATTTATAGAGAAGATACAGGGATAGCACAGAGAGTGCCACAGCCCCTCGCCCAGTTTCAGTTTCCCGGAGAGTTAACATCTTACGTTACTGAGACACATGTGTCAAAACCCAGAAAGCAGCAACGGTATCTTAACATTAACTAAACGCCCGACTTTATTTGGATTTCAGCAGTTTCCAAATTAATTTCAGCAGTTTCCTTTTTCTGTTCCAGGGCCCAGTCTGAGCACCACCATTTCATGAAAGGGCCACATGTGCAAAGGGACCCCCAAACGCAGCAGGAACTGAGAAACCAAAGAACGTATCCAAAGAACAGACAGACAAATCCAGTTTGTCGGGAGAGGGTGACTTATCGGGGGACTTAGGGACAGAAGTATGGTCTTCTGTGGCCATAAGACAGGTAGATCTCACTGCTGCCACCATCCCAGACCCAGGGCTTATATACTGCAGGGAGTCAACCTTCCAGGAAAAGACAAGAATGCTGTGTGCATCATAGCCTGTCATTTGCATGATAAAATCAAGGGTGTTTTGCCCTAAAGGCCGGCTTTACCGTAAATTCATGCTGTTACACATCTCTGTAAGTGGAAATCTTAGAGGCATTCCCAGAACTGGGGTGGCATCTAAAGTGGAGTCACTGTGGCCTCCACAACCACATCACCTTGGATTCTTTTTGAAGTGGCAGATAGAGGATTACAAATACGGTAGAATTAATTATAAGTCATCCCGTTGGTACTACAGAACTTGGACCTTCTTTTGAGTTTAGTTTGATTTCTCAAAATAAACCAGATCAAAAAGACAAACAACTGGATTTGTCCCTTACAAGCAAGATCTTGCTAAGGGAGAAAGACTTCTACTTTACCTTATAATCTTAAAATTCTTTATTTCAAAATTGTGTACAATAAGGAAATTTTATGGATACTAGATATTTATTATTTTATTGTGTGGGTGGTTTCACACATGTAAAAACTCATCAAAATGTACATAATGTATACCAATTATACCTCAATCAATGTGCTAAAAAAAAAAACTGTATGTGAAGACCTCAAATAAAGGGTTGCAAAATGTTTGGTCAATGATTGTCATAGCAGTAGATCAATCTATATATTCCATGAGTCAAATTCTATCTCTTAGAGAACCTCAAAAAGGGGACATTTTAACTCTGAAGGTATCCTATCTTTAATCTGATTTGGCAATCCTGGGATTTTCATTTATATAAACAATGCCTATTCAGTGCTAGTGGCTCTAACCTCCAAGGTCATTCCAAGGCCTGGGGAAATTCCAATGCCACTTCAGGCTTGGAGATGGCAACAACCTGGTGACGTCATATGCTATCTGGGGCTCACCCCACCTTCAGGCAAAGGTCACTGGGGCTGCTAAGAAACAAAGGTAAACCAACTGGCCATATAACATTTTAAGACCTCAAATTACAAAACATTTCTGCCCCTCCTCCCCAGCTTTGCAGATAAGGGGTTGCATGCAGGTGCTGATAACCACTGCCATCAAGTACATCAGGTTATCTCTGGACAGGCTCTCCACCCACTTGTAAAGAAGAGATCGGCATCTCCTTCTTACCTGGGAGGAAACTGAGGCCAGGAGGCCTTGTGTTAGGGTCTAAATGGGAAACAACAGGAGCTACCCCAGATAGTTTAAGCAGAAAACAAATTTTATGGAAGGCTATTAGGTAGCAGAATCCTTGAAAGAGGCAGAAAGCAGGAAAGGTACTCAGGTCTCCTCCAGGACGGCTCTACTGGGCACATTCTTTCCCTACAACCTCACTAGTACCAAGGAGATTAAACTGAGTAATTTTTGCCTGTGAAACAGGCAAAAAAAAAAAATCTTGTTTGATTTGCATTTTCGGACTGTGCGGTTGACCATCCTTTGCTTGTTTAATGACACTTGAATTTCTTTTGCTATGAACTATCTGATCACATCTTTTGTCCTTTTTTGAGTGGGTTATTGTCCTTTTTAAAAATTGATTTATATGTATGAGGTTAGCGCTATTCAGTCAGGTGTTACAAACCTATCCCCCATATTGTTGCTTGCCTTTTGAATTGGTTTTTGGTAATTTTCCTGTACAAAATTATAATTTTTATAAAAATTATACTTATGAAATATTATATTTATTATAATAATTACAAATTATAATAATTTTTACATTAATTACATTTTTGAAATATTATGCAACTGGAAATGAAAGAGTCCAGGCCAAATGTGCAGATAAAGGTTGATCTTCAAGTTGAATTAAGTGAAAAATTGCAGGAGAATGAGAGTGTGTATAGTTTATTCCCATTTGTATTTTTTAAAATATGCTTGTATGTGTAGTGAATATTTGTAAAGATACACAAGAACACAATAACAATGGTTGAATGCATGCACACACATTGTTTTTGTGTGTATATATCCCTCTAAAAAAGACAAATGGCAGTATGTTATACACATCATCCAGGGAAGAAGGTAGAAAGATGACTTACTTTTTACTCTTTTTTTTTTTTTTCTCACTTGTTGTCCAGGCTAGAGTGAGTGCTGTGGCATTAGCCTGGCGCCACAGCAACCTCATCTCCGTGGGCTCAGCGATCCTGACTGCCTCAGCCCTCCCGAGTAGCTGGGACTACAGGCATGCGCCCGGCTAATTTTTTCTATATATATTTTTAGTTGGTCAATTAATTTATTTCTATTTTTGGTAGAGACGGGGTCTCACTCAGGCTGGTTTCGAACTCCTGACCTTGAGCAATCCGCCCGCCTTGGCCTCCCAAAGTGCTAGGATTACAGGCTTGAGCCACCACGCCCAGCACTTTTTACTGAAAACGTTTTTGTTTCTTTTGAATTTTATGATATGTGGAGTTATTAACTTCTCAAAAAGATTAATCAACGGATTAATTATTTAGTATAATTAAATTTATAATTATTTTTCCTTATGCTTCTATATGCTTTTTTTTCTTAGAAAGAAAGGACTTCTGTAGTTTAATATTTATAGCAGGTTCATCTATGTTTTCTTCTAGGACATTTTTTGTTTCATATTTGACCAATTTGTAATTTATATTCATATAAAGAATAAAGTTAGGACCCGAGTATCTTTGTTTTCAAAGACCGGAGGATGAGTCTTTTTATTTTGAGTTTTATTTTTTGAGACCGAATCTCATTCTGTTGCCTGGGCTAGAGTGCCGTGGCATCAGCCCAGCTCACAGCAACCTCAAACTCCTGGGCTCAAGCAATTCTTCTGCCTCAGTCTCCCAAGTAGCTGGGACTACAGGCATGCGCCGGCTTGCCCGACTAATTTTTTCTATATATATTTTTAGTTGTCCAGCTAATTTCTTTCTATTTTTTAAGTGGAGGGGGGTCTCGTTCTTGCTCAGGCTGGCCTCGAACTCCTGAGTTCAAATGATCCTCGAACCTTGGCTTCCTAAAGTGCTAGGATTACAGACATGAGCCACCACACCTGGCCGGTTTAGTCTTTTTAAACATTTTAAAATGTCAATATTTAAAAGTGTTGGAATTTTAACTGGGATATTACTGAATCTAAAAAGTAATTTGGTGAGAACTGACATAGTTTATAAGAACAAAGCGTATCTCTCCATATATTGAAGACTTCTTTTATATTGCTCAAAACAATCTTATACTTCTTGCTAAATTTACTCCTTAACATTTCATCTTTTGATGTGTTGTTGTACTCTTGTAAAAGGGATCTTTTCTTTCATTATATCTAATTTAACTGGTTTTTTTTTTTCTAGGTAGAAAGTGGTTTCTTTTTTGTTTTTGAGACTGAATCCTACCATCTTGCCCAGGCTAGATGGTAGGTGCCATGGCGTCTGCCTAGCTCACAGCAACCTCCAACACCTGGGCTCAAGCGATCCTCCTGCCTCAGCCTCCCGAGTAGCTGGGACTACAGGCATGCACCACCATGCCCGGCTAATTTTTTTCTCTCTATATATTAGTTGGCCAATTAATTTCTTTCTATTTTTAGTAGAGACAGGGTCTCATTCTTGCTCGCTCAGGCTGGTTTCGAACTCCTGACCTCCAGCAATCTGCCTGCCTCGGCCTCCCAGAGTGCTAGGATTACAGGCGTGAGCCACCACGCCCCACTGAAAGTGGTTTCTCTTTATATATTACTTTCATAATGCATCTTCAGATGGGAATAACTTGGCCTCCTGTTCGCCTGCCATCACGCACTATGTAGATGCAGGTTGTGTTCTGGTGTGTGTTGTTGCTTCCTAAACACACACAGACACAGGACCAGGCTTTGGTATTTATGAACTCAGCAGGGCTGCATCAGTTGGCAGGTGTATCAGGGACAAGGCTCCAGGGTCACTGGTATTGGTGTTCTTGTCCAGGAGGACCGGGAGCTGGGTTGGAAGCCTGAGCAGATGCCTCCATACCAGACTCTGGAAGGACCTAGAGTAAGTGGCTTTGCTGCCAGTTAACAGCATGGGTTGGTCCCCTTAGAGCTTGTGGGGCAACCCCCTAGGTGTGCTGAGCAATAGGACCCTTAAAGAGCCCCCATTGTATGGCCGGGTGCAGTGGCTCACACCTGTAATCCTAGCACTCTAGGAGGCCAAGGCAGGTGGATCGCTCAAGTCAGGAGTTCGAAACCAGCCTGAGCAAGAGCGAGACGCCGGCCGTCTTAAAATAAAGAAATATTGGAATAAAATTAAAAATACACATGGCGAGCTGTTCGCTACTTGGGAGGCGAGCAGGAGGCATCGCTGGAAGCCCAGGAGTTTTGAGGTTGCTGTGAGCCTAGGCTATGCCAGAACTCCCTCTACCTGGCACTCAGATGAACTCTTCTCGAAAAAAAAAAAAAAAAAAAGAGCCCCCATTGTCCCTTGGAAGGGGAGGAGCCCCTGCAAGGTGCTGAGACCCGGTGGGAATGGGAAATCCACTGGGACATGTTTCTCAGTGCAGCTCTGGGGGCGGTTTCACCATCAACAATGGCAGAAGAATGGGGGAAATCCTGTTAAGGAGTTCAACAATTCCCCCACCACAAGACAGAAGGAGTCAGCCGAGAGGCACGACTCCTAAAGGAGCACAGCGGGTCTCAGCTGGTGGCCGAGAACATGGTGGCTCAACTCAGGGGAATCACCCCAGCTGCGGCCAGAAAAAGAGGGGAATGAGTTTCCCAGCCCAGCCCAAGCAACATCCCAACGTGGAGGTGGATGTGTGGGGCGGTGAGGTGGCCTGGCTGATGGGTCATTTGGGAAGGTAGACCTTCAGGACAGGGGGTCTGGAATGCTCCTTGGAGAGGAAGGACCTCCATCCAGAACCTGCTTCCAAGGGCCTCCGCCCTGGACACTTGGTGCTGGTGACCAGTCCCTGCCCCCAGCTCCCAACAGGGCAGGACCTGACCTCCACTAAGCTGGGGAAAGGCCAAAGGGCAAAGGACGGCATGACTGCTGCTTGGGACAGCCCGAAACACACAGGGCCATAGCTTGGACCGCCTGATGCCATCGTCAGGCAAACCTTGGAAGCTGGAGCCAGCCCTGAGGCTGGCTTAACTGACAGTAGAACCGGGGTGCCGGGGCTCACGCCTGTCATCCTGCACTCTGAGGCCGAGGCGGGAAGATTGCTTGACGGTCCAGCATTTCGAACCACCTGAGCAAGAGCCGCGACCCCGTCTCATTCATAAATAGAAAAAATTAATTGGCCAACTAAGTATATCACAGAAAAAAATTAGCCGAGGCTGGTGGCATGCTGAGTCCCAGCTACTCGGGGCTGGAGCAGGAGGATGCTTGAGCCAGGGAGTCTTGGAGTTGCTGTCGGAGTCAGGCTGACGCCATGTGCACTCACTCTAGCCTGACAACAGCGAGACTTTCTCAAAAAAAAAAAAAGAAAGAAAACTGACAGGTAAGAGGTGGGTAGTGGAGAGTAATGTCTCCTGGCAAACCTACACTCAGCCCAGCCGCG